TTGGCCACCCCAGCACACGCCTTTGGGGCTGCCAGGGCTGTAACCCGGCCATATGCCCATTCAAACACTGAGGCTGGTTGGTGGCAGCTGCGTTCTCATTGGCCAGGTTGGGGTCCCAGGAGGCAGGGGGCTGGGTAGGATCCCCTTGTCCCCAACCGCGTCCGGCAAGCCCCAGGAGCCTGAGGGGATCAGGATGGCAGGCTTGGCTCCTGGCCCTGGTGGCTCGTGGCTGGAGCAGGCTGTTTCAGCCTGCTCCAGCCACTTGGGGAGCGAACCAGCAGATGGAAGATCTTCCTCTCTGTCTCTCCTTCTCTCTGTAAATCTGACTTTCCAATAAGAATAAATCAACCTTAAAAAAAAAAAAGAAAATAGCGATTGTGAGGACACTCAAAGAGAGTGGGCGGGACATCCTCCGTCAAGCTATGGAAGGCGCTGTCTGCTGTCCCTGCTGAAAAATTAAGAGGAAAAGCCAAGGGATGTAGGCAGGGACCCGGGAACCAGGGGAGGAACGAAACACCATGTTAAATATGTGCTCTGCGGCTTGCGCTGGTCCGGCAGGCCAAGTCCCAGCCTGAAACCCTGGCATCGCATGTGGGCACTAGTTGGAGGCCTGGTTGCTCTACTGCCTGTCCAGCTCCCTGCTAAAGTGCCTCAGGAAGCAGTGGAGGACAGCTCAAAGCCTTGTGACCCTGTACCCACATGGGCTCCGACGGGGTTCTGGGCTCCTGGCTTTTGATTTGCTCAGCTTCAGCCATTGCAGTCATTTGAGGAGTAAATTAGCAAATGGAAGATTCTCTCTGCAACTCTGTATTTCCAATAAATAAATAAATAAATTTTTTTAGGATTTATTTTATTTTTATTGGAAACTCAGATATACAGAGAGGAGGAGAAACAAAGATCTTACGTCCACTGGTTCACTCTGCAAGCGACCACAACAGTTGTAGCTGAGCCAATCTGAAGCCAGGAGCCAGGAGCTTCTTCTGGGTCTCCCATGTGGGTGCAGGGGCCCAAGGTTTTGGGCTGTCCTCTAGTGCTTTCCCAGCCACAAGCAAGATGCTTGGTGGAAAATGGAGCAGCCGGGACACAACAGACGCCATATGGAATCCTGGCATGTGCAAGGCAAGGACTTTAGCCACTAGGCTACCATACCGGGCTCTAAATAAATACATCTTTAAAAAGAAAATTAAAACTGCTTTAAAAACAGGCAGACCAGTCCCCACTCCAGGAGCCTGGGACTTGGGTGGGCCAAACAGGATGCCTTGATAACCGGATTGCTCCAGGGCGATGGGGACCCTCCTCTGGTCACTGCAGAGGTGTCTGCATTGGCAGGGGGCAGGGGGGGCGGAGCCAGCATGGGGTACTGTGTGAAACTGAGATCCTTAGAACTGGGGGGCAGGGTTCGAGGCTGAGTCAGCCTGGAGGGTCCCAGCCATCATCACGCGAGCTGGTCCCCCTTGGTGTTCCTTGGGACAGCAGGAGGTGGGCCCCCATTGTGTAGACCATGAAGACACTTGGGGCAGCTTGTCCAGGGTCAGGCAGCCTTCAGGGCAGCCGAGATCACTATTAGAGGCCACGGGGCCTTGCTGGGTCCCTGGTGTGAGTCCTGCTCTGTGTCTGACCCAGTTCCTGCTGAGGAGCACCCTCGGAGGCAGCAGGTGACAGCTGGGTCCCTGTCACGTGGCAGGCCTGAGCAGAGATCTGGGCTCCTGGCTTAGTGCTGTGGGCATGTGGCAAGTGTGCCAGTGGGAAGTCAATCTCCCTCATGCTCTCACTCTTTCTTTTCACCTTCCAAATAAATATAAATAAATAAGGAATCATAAAACTATTGAAATAAACCCAAAGCTGGCTCTGGTGGGGTGAGAGCGGGGTGTGTCTCCGGTCCTTTCCTGCAGCAAAGCCCGCCCTGTAGCCTGCCACACTTCCCCGGACGCACGCTCGCTGCTTAGAAGGGTACCTTCTGCGTTCCCTTCTGCCGCTGTAGCGAGGCACCACGAGGCATCGGGAAGCCCGGTGCGCCCGTCAGGTGGGCTGGCCAGGGGCTGCTCGCCCATCAGCGCCCTGCAGGCCTCGTGCTGCTGGTGTGCACGCCAGGCTTTGCGGGGAGCAAGCCGGGCAGTGGCGCCGATAAGCCAAGCTGGGCACTTATCAACCCCAGCAGGAGGGATCCAAAGGCTGGGTGCAGCCCACCCTGTGCCCTGAGCAGGGGGCAGTCTACAGCCTCCAGGCCCGGCAGGGCACACTGGCTGGCCGGCTGCCCAGGGACTCGGGTTGGCTGTTTACATCTGTGACTCAGCAAGGACACGGGGGAGGAGCCACCCCAGCTGGCTCCTTCCAAACCCTGCCTCAGCCCATCACCCACTGGCTCTCCGGCCCCTGGCAGGTGCTAAGTGTGCCCAACTGTGAAGTGGGCACAGCCAGGTTTGGGGGAAGCTCAGAGAAGTCACAGATGGGAGGCTCTGGAGAGTGCTCATGAGTTCTGTGGCTGGGAGTGTACCCTGTGCTCCAGCCAGCAGAGCCAGTAACGTGGACAGAGAGGGTCTGGGGATGAAGCACAGGAGACAGGAGCCCATTGAGGGTGAAAGTCTCCCCAAAGCCTCCCTTTATTACTCGTTTTATACTCTTTTCCCGAAGCCCTTTAACCGAACAATAGGATGCCAATGAGTCCCATTAGACCAGGTGGTTTTAGCCACAAGCCCATCCTGTAGGTGCTCTGCTTAATGAGTGTTAACTCCTTAGCCCACAACACCCTGCTTCCTGTGTCAGGAACAGGTGGGGGTAGGTGTGAGGGCTCCATCACCAGGCAGGATCTTTTTAAGACGTGATAGCTAGCACTCCAGCAGCCACTCTGGTTCCTTGAGGCAGTCCTGACAGAGGAAGGCACTGTGAACACAGTGCCTTGGGAAGGGAATGGCATCTGAGTGCCTCCTGCATGACCAGGAGCTCTCACCAGATCCAGCCTGGGGCCACATGCTTCTGGTGTCTCACAGGAGGGAGAAAGTAAACCACCGACAAGTCAGGGACCACAGTGATTGGGGGTTTTCTGCTGAACTTCGCCAGGCCTCACTCTGAGCACTTTAGGCCCTCTGAAAAGGCACAGGTGCAGGGTCCCAGCTGCAGGGGGTGAAGGTGGATAGAAAAACAGGTCCAAGAGGCCTAGGGCGAAGGGGGACCATGTGGGCTGCTTGGGGGCCTGGGTTCAAGTCCCAGCTCTACTTTTGATTCCAGCTCCCTGCTCATGTGCGCTTGGGCCCCTGTCACCGTAGGGGAGCTGGAAGGTATTCCCAGGCTCCAGACCCAGCCCTGGCTGGTGCAGGAATTTAGCAAGTAAATAGCAGGTGGCAGATCTGTCTTTTTTCAATTATTTACAAAGTTACCACGGTGGGTGGGAGGTCCGGGAAGCAGCAGCCTGGGGCAGAAGCTTCAGGTTGGTTCACCATCCCCTCCCTCACCACCAAGTGGTCACAGTGGCTGGGACTGGGCTAGGCTGAAGCCAGCAATTTCATCTGGTTCTTCTACATGGATGGCAAGGGCCTAAACACTCGGGCCGTCGTCCACTGCTTTCCCCTGGCCTCTGGCAAGGCGCTGGATTGAATGTGGAGCAGCTGGGACACAAACCAATGCCCCGGCGGGAAGCCAGCACTGTAGGTGGTGGCTTTACTTGCTATGCCACAACGGCAGTGCCCTCCACCCCAAATAACATTCTTTAAATTGCATCTTTACTCACTTTCTGAGTGTGCCCTGTGGATATACACTCGCATGCATTTGTGCATGTGCACATGTGATCATGAGCAGGCCCCGTGCAAGGGCAGTGTCTGCACGTGTCCCTGCTAACCAGCCACAGCCATGACTGTGGGGAAGGCAGGATGATGCTGGCCTGCTGCAATGCACCCACAGCTTCTAATTCCATGATGAGCCCAGCGTGCGTGTGCATCCATGTGCATGCAGGCATGCGGGTCGGTGTGCCTGTGCACACATGCGTGGTGATGGGTCCCCTCCCTGAGCCCCTGCCACATGTCATGACCTCTGAGGCCAAGACTGACCAGGGCTCCCAGTGCTTCTGGCCCATGTTCTGCCCTGCACACAGGCAGCTGTCTCATGTTGCACCCCCGTGTACCTGGGCAGCAGCGGCCCCACCCTTGGGAGCCTTGGCTTCACCTGTCATGCGGGGACACAATGAGGGGCAGCGACCATCCTGGGACATGCAGGGCACAGGGCCTAGTGCCCTGCCCCAGGAGTGCTGCAGGTGTTGGCGGCTGTGGCCCTGGCTGTGACTGCTCCCTGTGGCCTACGCCCCACCAGCTTGGGAGGCACAGCTTCCTCACTCCTGGGCTCACCCCAAGCAGCAGCCCTCAGGTCTGAGACCAGTGAGCATGTTTTTTAGCTCTGAGACCTTCCCAAAGGCCTGGCCCAGAGCTGCCACCAGCTGATAGTGACAGGAAGTGCCCAGGCTCCAAGTGCTCCTCCTGATAACCCTGGCAGCGCCCACAAGCCCCTCACTGGCCTCCCATGCCCTTATCAGCTGCAGCCAATGTTTTCCCTGGCTGGAGCCCCAAGCTCACCTCCCTGACCCTCCGGAATGTTTGCAAACTCAGCGCTGGGGGTAGGAGGGGCCTGCAGCAGCTGGGGAGAAGGCAGCTCCACTGATGCAGGCGAGGCACCACAGGAGCTCCTTGAACCCCTCAAGGAATGGCCAGAGGAAGGCAGGGGCGCTCCCAGCTCTGCCCCAGCCCCTCCCAGCTCAGATCCTCTGCTCCCTGCAATCCGAGATGCCTGCCAGGGCACCCTGGGGCTCAGCTGACTTGCCATGGGCTGGCCCCAGCTCAGAGCTGGCTCAGGGTCCCAGCTGTGTGCAGGCACAGCACTAGCTGTGGGGGACAGCAACAAGCAGCGTGGGCAGCTCTTGGCCCCAGGACTGGCGAGACTGCCCAACGACCGGAGGGCCCAGAGTGGGAGTGCTGCCCACTTTCCCTGTGTTGTCAAACTCACAGACCAACTTCTTCTTTAAAGAAAAAAAGTTTTATTCTTATAATCAGAATATTCTAATAAAAATATTATCTTATTAGCTACCTTTACTCTCTGGGCTTGCCTCTGTACCGGACGTACTCAGCTCCCTGAGGTAGGCCCCCAAGGGCCCCTCCCTCCCCCATCCCAGAGCCCCCAGGAGGGCAGGGAAGGGGTACAGGGCGGGGCCGGTGGGAGGCAGGGAGGGAGGAGGGGGCGGGCAGCACCTGCACTTAGGACGCCTGCAAGAGCCAAGTGTGCTGGAGCCCAGCTGAGCCCTGGAGCGCAAGACAGGAGGGAGACGGCAGCCTGGGCCGCAGTGAAGGCTCCTGAGCCAGCTCCCAGTCCCAGCCAGGCACTGGAGCGCAGGCGCACGGTGTGGACTCTGGGAAACAGGAACAAGGCAGCCAGAGGTCTGCATCCTCAGGGGCAGACTGGAAGCTGAACATCCCCTTCGTAGCCAGACAATGACAGTGAGCAGACAGCCAGTGCATCTGCTCGTGTGGCCCGCTTCCCTCCAGTAAGGCACCTGTGTGAGGACGGTGGCTGCACAGCGTGAAAGCTGCTGGCATCCTGCTGTGGAGCGGCCGCTGCAGCAGTGGACCTGGGCTCGTGCCTTCAGGCAACTCCTTGGACCCCCTTTCTGCCTGGGTCCTCGCCTGAGTCACCCCGACCCGAATTTGAATGGAGACAGTCTCTTGGCATCCGGGCCGGCCACCGTAGTCCCTGGTGGGGGACGGCCTCACTGCATGCGGTCTGGCTGCAGCTGCGGGGCCTGGTACTGCACGAAGGTGGTACCTGCAGGGGCCGCAGCGGAGAGGGCCTGGGGCATGGCGGCGGCCGGGTAGCCGTAGCTCACGAAGCTGGTGGCCGTGGCAGGCGAGGCGGCGTACGGGTACTGGTCATAGGTGGCTGGTGGGTACTGAGCATAGGCTGGGCTGGCTGGGGTGTATTCAAGGTAGGGCGAGGACAGTGAGGGCACTGGGGCTGCGGGGATCACCACGCTGGGTTGCACGATGGCTTGCGGGTAGACGTAGTGCGGAGTGAGCCTGCGGGCCAAGCACAGTGTCAGGTGGGCAGACAGAGCTGGACTCAGAGGGGGGAAACACTGAAAACGGACAACTTCAACGTGTCAAGGGCTAGTGCCTCTTGGAGCTTGGGGCCCTACTGTGTGAGCGCTCATGACCCATTGTGTGAGCGCTCTGGTCCTGTCTGCCAAGTCGGCCATGCCATCGCCCTCTTTCCCAGCCTGCCCCAACCAAGCCTTCACCGGGATACCATGCCTGCCTCCCCCCACTGCATCTGTGAATGACTGAACAGGCAGTGTCTCTACCTCATGCCAGGTACTGGGAGTCCCTACCCCACACCAAGGGGGCCAAGAGCGGGCTGTGCTCCTACCATGGGAATCACCAGGGAAGTCCATTGGGGAAGACATCTGGCCCTTGGGAGGATCCAAGCTCAGGGTGCAGGGGGAGGAGCTGGCATATCCCTATCCTGCCAGTTGATGCCAGCCAGGCCTGGGGGCCCAGGAGGCCTGCCCTGCCTGGAGAGAAGACACAGGCATGCCAGCTGTGCCCAGGGAACGCTGGGGAGCTCTCTGTGGGGAGTGTCGGGCTCAGCATACCCCAGGGCACTGATGGATGGCAACAGGCTAGGCTGTCCCTTGAGATCTGAGGCCACACCTGCATGCAGCAGGATTGGAGGGGGCTTGGGGGGTAGCTGGCATCAACACCTCCCCGAGGGAAACAGCTTCCCACAGAGTTAGAGGCCAGCAGCACCAGTCATCACAGCATCCCAGACCCAGCCAGCCAGGGCTGCCAGCCAGGTGTGAGTCAGGTGACTGGGGTCTGTCCTTGCGCCAACCCACGCCATGTCATGGATGCCTGGAAGACAGCTCCTGGGGGAGGTGGCAGTGGCACTTGGACATGCCTACTGATGCAGGACAGGCAGCTCCAGAGACAAAGGGTGCTGTGGGGGAGGACATGCGACGGAGAGGCCCTGGCTCAGACTGGTGGAGGCCATATGACCTTGCCCAACAGTCACTGCCACCAAACAGCACTCACTTGGGCAGAGTGTGAAGTTCAGGGCAAAAACTGCACGTGGGGAACAAGTCCTGAGTCACAAGCTGGATCATCCCAGCCAGGGCTCAGGGCTTGGGCGCTGTGGGCAAGGCAGGGTGGAGCAAGTGCCACAAGTGCTTGGGGGAGGGGCGTGTGGCCCTGTGCTCCAGGGGACTTCCAGCTCCCTGCCCAAGAGTCAACACGATGTCACCCTCACACTGACTGTTTATCTTCCCAGGCAGGTGCAGCAGCCCCAGCTGTTGCCATGACAACACACACGCTGGCTAGGCGGGCAGGGTCCCAGCAGCTCACACAGGTGATTGCATTGGATCTGTCCTGAATCCCAGGCGGGTGCTGCCAGGAACCCTGCAAGGGTGCCTCCTCTCACTCTCCTGGTAGCCTTAGCAGCCCCATCTGCCTGCCCCCTAGAAAACATGGCCTGGGCTCAGGTTCAAGTCCTGCCATACCTCCAAGCTGCAAGACACCTCATCTCTGTGCCACAACATGGCAGGGGGTAGACACGCAGCCCTGCCCTCAAGGCGAATCAGCCCAGGAAGCAGGAGTTTCCATCCAGGTCAGCGGGGGGCTGTGACACCTGCAGGCTCCTCAGAGCAGACAACTGCCCGAGAGCAAGCCAGTACTGCTGTGGGCTGAGTCAGGAAGAGCCGGAGGGGCAGGCCTGAGGCGGGGGAGCCTGATGACACTCTGTGGCCAACCCTCCACCTCCAGACCACACCGAACCCTCAGCCAGCACTTCTCACTCAAGCCCTCCCCACCTGGGCAGCTCTCCTTGTCCTGCCAGGCCTGGCGGGGGCAGAGCAGGGAAAAGAAGGCCTTAGGGCATGGACCTCACTGAGAAGGAGGTGCTGCAGCTGTGGACCAGGGAAGAACAGATGCAGGGAAGCCAGCGTTGGTGCCGTGCCCGGCAAGCTGCCCCGGCATCCGGGGTGCCCCCCCAGCCCCTCGGAAACATTCCTCAGCGCTGTAAGCCTGGAGCCCAGAACTTCTCCAAACATGGGCAGCAGCGCCCCCAGCTCAGCCCAGGCACCCTGAGCTGTGAGCTAAAAACGCAGGGCCCCCCCAGAAAGCACAGCCAGACAGGGACAGGAGCCTGCACTGATGGCTCCTGGGCCACACGGCACAGCCAGGGGTGAGGATGGATGCCAGGCCTGGGCCGTTGCACACTGCGTGGAGTTGCCAGACAAGCAGTCCTGCCCATCTGCTCCGTCTCCACCAGTATTGGCCCCAGGCTCTGCCTCACCACCACCACCTGCTCTGGCAAGGACATGTGGAGCAAGGGGCTCTCCGATCGTCCCACTCAGCATCTGCACCTGCAGGGTGTCAGCTGTCCCTGCACATGAGGAACCGGAGGTGGCTCACAGAGCAGAAGCTGCTGTTACCCCATCTCCCACCTGAGGCCCGGGGGCCTGAGCCAGTGGCCAGGCAGTGCCTGGCCCCTTCTGTTGGCAGCCTGGGCCCCACACTCAGCCCCCAGTGACAGCAGCTCCAAATTTGCCATCAGATGAGGCCCGAGGACAGGAGGGACCAAGGTGGATGGAGTCGAGAAACCCTGTGGAGTAGGGACCAGAGCTCTGGTACCTTCTGCACTTGGAGATGTTATAGTCTCCTCTAGCCAGTTTCCCCATCTGTAAAATGGGTCTTCTGGGGGCTGGGCTCAAGGGCCTGTGCTTAAACTATGGCTTTGACCACGGTGATGTGGCCCCAGGGACCTGGGCAATATTTGGCCTGTTTCTGTCACACTGCCAACACCCCTAACTTCCAGGGCAGTGTCCATTTCCCCCTGCCCTCCATGCTAAGGTTAGGGAACCCAGCCATATAAAGACACTGCCAGACACCTGCAATTCTCACTAGTGTCACAGCCACAAACACCCAGGCCTGAGGGGTGTGGCAGGGAGGGGACTGGGATATGACTGAAGCGAGGTGGGCCCTGAAAGCCAAGATCCGCCAGCCCCGGCCACCTACCAGGTACTCTACAGCGTCCTTCTCCCAGCCGCTGCAGGAGGCACCCCAGCGTGCCTCGGTGCAGGCTGGGGAGGATGGCAGGTCCCCACTCCCAAAGGACACCCAGCCCTTGCACAGGCACAGTGCCCAGAAGCCCTCCGGGAAATGACATATCAGAGGACAGCTATCCCAGAGGGATTGGCACCCAAAGGTCAGAGGGCCCAGGCCAGCGGGGTGACCCATGGGGTGGTCCTTGCCCTTGCCATAGCGCCCTGTCCGTGCCCCAGAGCTGTGCGCCATGGCCAAGCCACTCTCAGAGTCACAGGGCTCTTCCATCTCCGGGCTTTCCAGGGCATCCAAAGAAAATGTGTCGGGCCCGGGGCGGTGGCGCAAGTGGTTAAGGTCCTCGCCTAGCACGCCCGGGATCCCATATGGGCGCCGGTTCTAATCCCGGCAGCCCCGCTTCCCTTCCAGCTCCCTGCCTGTGGCCTGGGAAAGCAGTCAAGGACGGCCCAAAGCTTTGGGACCCTGCACCCGCGTGGGAGACCCGGTAGAGGCTCCTGGCTTCGGATTGGCATAGCATCGGCCGTTGCGCTCACTTGGGGGGTGAATCATCGGAGGGAAGATCTTTCTCTCTGTCTCTCCTCTCTGTATATCCGCCTTTCCAATTAAAAAATAATAATAATAAAAATAAATCTTTAAAAAAAAAAAGAAAATGTGTCAGTGCAGCCACACCTGGGGGATGCCAGCTGGGAAGTTGCTTCCTGGGAGAACCATCACCCTGCAGAAGCCTGGGTCAAGGGGCACACTGGGCCGCATAGGATGCGGGATGCATGCACGTGGCCAGAGGGGATGGGCTGCTTGGGGAAGGATGACTCAGGGGTTCTCTGCCCTCTCTCATGCTAAGGACAGTAGAACCCATATCCCCAAATCATGCAAGGGCTGCAACAGGCCATGATGGAGGCCAGAGGCCCCACGGCACCCTGGGACAGGCATGCAGGAAGAGCTCGGCAGCCTCTGCATGGCATGAGGGCGCATGGCGGGAAGAGATCCAGACTTGGTGCAGAGTGAAACCCAAGGGGACATGTCTCTTTTCTCCAGAAGCCAGTGCCTCTCTCTCTCTCTCTTACACACACACACACACACACACACACACACACACACAGCCCGGAGCCTCCAGGCCTAGACCCCAGCATTCCAAGGACCTGTAGCACACACTGGTTGGAGGCACCAGTCCAGCTGCCGTGCTTGTCCAGGCCACAGGGACAAGTACTGCTGGCCCTCTGTGGTCTCAGTCCCCCATCTGTAAACCAAGGATCCCAAGGAGCCCAGTGGTGGGGCTGGCACTCTGGCACAACAGGTTAAGCCACCACTTGTGATACCGGCATCCCATATGGGCACGGGCTCCTGTCCCTGCTGCTCCACTTCTGATCCAGTTCCCTGCTAACGTACCTGGAAAGCGACAGCAGAAGGCCCAAGTGTAAGGCCCCTATCCCCTATGGAAGGCCTAGGTAGAGCCCAAGGCTCAGCCTGGCCCAGCTCTGGCCGCTGCAGCCACTGCAGAGTGCACTACAAGTACATCTTTCCCTCTAACTTTGCCTTTCAAACAAATCAATCTTAGGACCCTCACCCAGGCTGGGCAGACGGCCTGGGCCCCTGAGCAGGGCATCTGCAGACTGCCTGCAGAGCAGGGCCAGGATGAGGGGCTGGCAGTACCCAGAAAATCGGCTACCCACTGCCCCCTACTCAGAGCAGAACTCAGTGAAAAATAACTGGCCACAGCCCTGCAGGACTCATTTTCTGAACATAAAGCCACCTCTGAAAATAAAAGCGAAAAAAGCAAATGAGCCCATTTCACTTTTCTGCTGTCTGGGGCCTCACCTCACCAAGGAGGGGGCCAGCGTGCCGTAGGAGGGCAGCCTGGCGGGCAGGAAGCCACCAGTAAGCCTCCCGGGAATCCCCCACACGCTGCAGGGGACATTCAGGCTCCCTGGGGCCCAGCAAACAAGTGCAGCTGGCTGCAGGCGGCAGGTGACACGCTTGCTCTGCGGCCCTGGGCCAGGCTTCCCGTTCAACTTCTCTTTACCTCAACTCTGAATCTCCCCCAGAAAGCTGTCCTCCACCTCCACAGGCATGACCAAGCCACTCTTCCATCTGCTCAGACCCAGGGCTCTAGAACCTTCTCAGTTGCCTGTTTCTTTCACACATCCTTCAACACACACCCAGTATCTCACAGAGCTGCATCACAGCGGCCACAGCGCGGTCACACACATCACACGGTGCCTGGTGCCCGCGCCGCCCCCGGGACCCAGCTGCAGAAATTCCTCCCCATCCCCTCCGCTCTGGGCATGTCAGGGGCCACAGCACTGGGATCCGCCTCTCTGTTCTTGGGAGTCCCCTACAGACCAAAGCCCAACCTCTTGAGCAGAGGCTTCTGGAAGATTCTTTCCAGCCCCAGCACACGGGGTTCCTCCTGCCTGAACAAAGGACTCCTTGGAGAGGACTGCAGGACCCACCCGAGGGTTCCTATTACAGCAGACACGCAGACAACAGGTGCAGTACGGGCGCCTCCCTCCACACGAGCTGCCAAACAGGAAGTGACGACAGCGGGCAGCAGGGCCACTGTCAGAGGACACCCTGAGGGTGAAAACGTGATGCCACAGGGTCAGTGGGGGGAAGGTGGCCTGGCCAAGTCCCCTGCCCCTGCTGCTAGACACACACTGCGTGACCACTCAGTCCCTGTGCCTGGAAGGCTGTGTCCCAGGGACTGCCAGAGCCAGTCTCCTGTCCCCTGCCTGCAATCACATGTCACCCGGTCACCACCACCTGCACGCAGGATCCTCCCTGGCTTTACTGACTTCTGTGAAGCAGCAACAAGACATGCCAGCAGCTACCACGACAGCACCATGAGGCCCGTGGCCCCACAGTGGCCCATCACCTCCACGCCAAGCACAACATCACATGGGACCAAGAGCAGATCCCAGTTCCTAGTCTGTCCTCTGCCCTGGGGACCAGGCACGATAGGACATCCCAAGCTCTGTCCAGGATGGCCACGCGCAAACCTGTAACATATGCAGATTCACACCCCCCGTTGGTGCCAACTTCCTCTTTTGCCATACTCAGCAGCCCCAACTGTGCCCTCGAACACACAGGGACCACAGCTGTATTGTTCAGAGAACCCCACACACAGGGCCAGTGATGGAATGGGGGGGGCAGGCTTACAGTGTTCCTAGCCCCATGGTCGACACTCCCTGCCTCCCAGCTCCTTGGCTCAGGCCCCCAGCACACACACCTCCATGGCCTGAGCATGTCACAACTGGGGCACCAAGGGCCTCACTTGGGGGACACAACGATCCCAGAAGCTCCACACTCAGGGGGCCGGTGTCCCTGGCCCAAGTCTACCGTGTGCTGAAGGCATGCCAGATGTCATGTGACAAGCCCCACACTCACCAACAGGTACCTATGCAGGAAGCCTGCGACAGGCCAGGTCTCTAGGCTGGCATGGAGACTCCTACTCAATGGACACCCAGCCCCTGGCAAGGCCCTTCAAGGACAGGGAGGGGACCTGCCCCCAGCACAACAGCTGGCCCTTCAAAAATAACCCAGGCAAGCCTCCAACGAGCCAGGCTCTGGATGAAGCTCGGTCCCTGGCCTGCTTGGGGTGGATGGCATCCACGGACACCAGGAGGCTCTCACCCTCTCGGCCAGCCTCCTCGTGCCCACTGCTGTGCCAATCACGCAGGACAGTGGGCTGCCACAGAGCACTGCCCCACATCTACACCCAGCCGAGCTAGGTCCTGGCCAGCCTAGCAGGACAAAGCAGGAGCAAGGGACCTGGTTAACAACACGAAGTCCTGTCGGGGCTCCTGGCCCACAGGACCTCCCTACACACAGTCCCAAGCCACCCGGCCTCAACGTGAGACTGTCGGCCTTGGCATGGTCCAAGCCTTCTGCCTGGAGCCACAGCATCCGCCTGGGGAAAGTGCTAGCCAGCAGGCGAGGGGTTAACCAGTCCACACACATCGGTGCCCCCCCCCCCCCCCCCCCGGCCAACAGCAGGCCTGGCCTCACTGCCAGCCCCAAGCTGACAAAACTGACCGCTGAGTCAGGCTGGGCTGGGCTCCGGGGCCTGATTGTTCCCAAAGACAAAGGGGACGCTGACCGTCCAACTCCTGGGCTTGGCCAGCGGGCGGGAGTTCAGGACACGCCGCTGACCCGGGCAGCCAGCTTGGCCGCTCTGTGGCGACACACCCTTGCTGGCCTGGCCTCTGGCAGGTGGGGGCAGGGATGGGGGCGCAAGCCTGCAGACACTTCAGTCTTTCGTCTTCAGAAAAGGCAAAGACACAGGCCTCCGACCCCTGGTCCCTGCCTGGTCTCCACTCCCTAGCAACCACCAAACACAGCAAGGCCTCTTGGTAGACACAGGTATTAAATGGCCAGCTGCAAACTGAGTTATAAAACACCAGGGCCTCGAGTCAGCACACCTGCACCAAAGGCAGACTGGCCCTTGCCATCCTTGCGCGATGACGAACATGGTCCCTGACTACAGAGCAATGCTCTGCGATCCTGGACCAACCGTTCTGCTACCTCACCAACAAGGATGGGCTGGCCTGCCTTTGGCTCAGCATCCCCACAGGTGAACTGAGGCTAGGGCGAGACCCACCCCCGGAGACTGTGGGGACAGGAGGGCAAGTGCTGGACACTCGCTCTGTGCCATATAGGAGCTGAGCCCGGAGCGGAGCCTGGCTGCGGGGACCCATGGTGACAGTCTGAGCAGGGCCCCTCCCTAAGCTGGAAAGGCTGTCTGAGGCCCTGCTCCTGCCTGGGGGTACCTGGGGAAACCCAGTAATGCTTAATGCCCGCTTGCAGGGCCTCATGCCCAGGGGCTGGGAAGAGGTAGCAAGACTGGAGTGTCACTAACACCCTCGAAGGCAGCCCAACTGGCTATGACACACACCAAGGTGCAGGGGAATGTGCAACCATCAGTGGCCACCTCCTCCACTGTCCCTGGACAGGGAGCACGCGCAGAGGCCACAGCCAGCATCCTGAGGTTCCAGTGTCTGTTATCACTAATGGCCACTGCCAGGCCATGGTAGGCCACAGTGGAGCCACAGTACCCTACAGGCAAACACACAGCGTAGAGACATCACCCAAGCCACAGAGACCCTGTGGTCAGCTGCACACTGAGCCTGACCTGCTCCGCAGCACCCTCAGCTATGCTGCCCATCCCTCCCTGGCACACACATGTGTGTGCACACACATGTGTGTGCACACACACCCAGGCCTGAGACCCAGAGGCCTGGTCAACACTAGGGAAGCACTGAGGACTTCAAAGCAGGGGCCCTTGGTGCAGCTACACCCCTCCAGGGGTGGGGATACCCCTGGATCACCCAGGGGTGTGAAGCAGGTGGCAGAGTCCCCCATCCCCTCCCCAGGCAGCTGCCAGGCCCCGTGATGGCAGAGGACGGCAGGACCACATTGCTTCAAGTGGACTCACCTGGAAGTCGGCAGTGACCACTTTAAGCATGTTGCACCTGCCACAGGCTACACGCTGGCTGCCTGTGATCTGTGACCTGACCTCCCGTCCCCCCACCACTATCCTTGCACCAGGCTCCCCAAGGCCAGTCAGAGAGCTCGGAGGCAGGTGTACCCATTTCACAGGTGGTGGAGAGGGGTGCACACCCAGGCAATCCCCCGTCAGTTCCCTTGCTGTGGCATGGACAATGCCATCTGCCTCCCCAAGGCTCGTCTGTCCCTCCCAGTCCCCAGAATGTAGTCACAGTCACTGTGCCCAGCCCAGGACCTGACAGCTGGTGGCCCACTTCACCCCACCTCCCAGGCCTGCCCATGCACTCACCCATAGGTCCGCTGGATCAAGGTGGGATGTAGCTGCTGAACACCAACGGCAAAACCTAGAGAGAAGGAGGGGCGTGGGCAGCTCCACGGAGGCCGCATCCACTCACTTTCCCACTCATGGGGACAGCCCACTTCCTCTCTGCACCAGGGGACTGGTCCCCACGCCATGGGAATGACCCCACACTGATGGCTGCCAACCAGGGGCCATGCCCTCCGACCCTGGAAGGGGCCAGGCTCCCCAGCTGCAGTGGCTCTGCGGGTTCAGACAGCACTCCTGCCCCAAGAGACGGGGCGGCCCTGCTGCCCAACAGCTCCCAGGACCGTGGCACAAACGCTCTCACCTGTCTGCAGGCTCCTGGGCTTGGCGCCCAGATAAGCCAAGTTCACGTTGGCCTTCCGGCCGTCGATGATAGGATTAGGGTCTTTGCAAGCCCTCTCAGCTGCCGCCCGGTCAGCCATGGTCACCTGGAGGGGCACAGGCAGTTAGGGGCACGGATCACTGGGTGGGGGGGCCAGGGCAGAAGGCTCAGTTCCATAGGGCGGGAGAGGGTGGAGGCTGTTATTCAGGGCACCTGGGCCTCCCGACGAGTGGCCCGGACCTTCCCCCCACCCCCCAAGGACACAAACAGGGAACAGGGTCAACAGAGACCCTCAAAGGGTAGGCCTGATTCCCCTGGCAGAAAGCTGACAAATCTCCCCTCTGGAGTCCACCGCCAGGCCGGCTGGAGATGAGGTCCCCTTAAGCTGCTAATCTGGGGCGTTCAAGGGGGTGCAGCTCATGGGGAGGGGGGACGTGTGCTGCCGGCCCGCCCGCTGTCCCCGGGACACCCCGAGGGCGGCCGTCGCAAACTTGGGCGTCCTAACCGAACACAGCGGATCTGGCTGCGGCGGCGCGGTGGGGGCGGGGAGGGCGGCAGGTGCGGGCGCCCGGCGGGCGGCGAGGCCCTCCGGAGGGCCAGGGCACGCGCCCCCGGCCGCCGCGGGCGGATGGGGGGCAGGGGCGGTCCGGGAAAGGGGTGCGGGCCCGGCCGCGGGAGTGGGGGCCGCTTACAAAGCCGTAGCCGCGGGACTTGCCCGTCTGGCGGTCGGTGATGACCACGGCCTCTTCGATGTCCCCGAAGCCCTCGAAGTACTTCCTGAGCGAGGCGTCGGTCGTGTGGTAAGGGAGGCCGCCCACGAAGATCTTGGTGAACGTCGTGTCCTTCTGGGAGCCGTGCATGGCGCCGGGGGCGGCCGGGGGCCGCGGGAAGCCCGCGCTCGGGGCGCACGGCGCGGGCTGCAGCAGCATGGGGGGCGCCCCGCCGCCTACGGACCCGGGCCGCGCGGGGCTGCGCTCATGGGGGGCGCCGGGCAGCGCGCGGGGCCACGCGGGGCGCCCGTCCGGCAGCCACGCTCCTCCACGGCCGCTCCGCGACGCGATCCGAGCCGCCGCCGCGCGAACTCTGCGTCCGGCGCCCGCCCCGCGAGCGCTTTGTAGCTGGCCCCGCCCCCGGCCGGCGGGCCCCGCCCCCGAGCCCGCCCCGCCCCGGCGCGCGGGGGCCGCTGGGAGGTGTAGTCCCAGCCCGCGCCCGGCCGGGGCGCGCCGGAGGAGGCCATGGGTCCGGGCGCGGGGGCGTCGCCTTCGGGAGCATTCTCGGGTGGATCGCGTGTTATTAGCATCATGCGTGTCGCGTCAGCATACATAGGAAAGGAGGCGAGTCTGGTTGCATTTGTAAACGTAACCTGGCCAAACGCAACACGGCTCAGGGACCCCCTGTTCCCCCCATGACAGGTGCAGGGGCGGCCACCTCCAGCCTCACGGAGCTTTTCTGAGCCAGAGTGCACAACTCGGAGGCAGGAAAATCGGACGCTCTAAGTTAGACAATAGTAACAAGAAGCAGATGCCACAACCCTGAGCCGCCTCTGAGGGGTGGGGGGCTCCACCTCGCCGGGACCCTCTGTCCCGGTGCCCCACGATAAGAATGGGAACTCGTTCCGTGGGCTCCACGCTCCCTGCATGGTTCACAGGATATTAAGATTGCAAGGCATGGGGGGTGGCATAGCTAAGCGTCTACCACGGTGCTGGCACCCCACAGGGACGCCGGTTCAAGTCCCGGCTGCTCCACTTCCCATCCGGCTCCCTGCTCATGGCCTGGGAAACAGGCCAAGCAGAGGATGACCAGGGCGCTTGGGCCCCTACACCCCTGTGGGAAATCCCGGCTTCAACCTGCGCCATTTGGTGTGTGAACCAGCAGATGGAAGGCCTGTCTCGATAACTCCACCTTCCAAATAAATAAGTAAATCCATCTTTAAAGTAAATAAATCAATCATTGCAGGAAACAGCACGTGATGCCAGTTGCTCCTCCCCTGTCTCACCTAGAGGTTTAAACCCATCCTACCCCCAGGCCAGGCTTCTGCGGGAACTGCAGGTCGGGGGGCTCCTCTCTCACAGTCCCCCAGGCCGGCCCTAGACACCCCAGTCCCTGCCTCTGCGGGGCACACAGCTGCCCACCCGGCTCAATTTCCGACACTTCCCGGGCTGTTCCCTCCCCCGCCCCGTGCGCGCACGGATGCCTGCTGTTATGGGGGTGGGGTGGGATGTCTTTCTCCCCCGCTTGGAGAGCTCCAGCTGTGGGGTCGGCTAAGTGAAGAGTCCTCGGACGACCCCCGCCAGCCAAAGCCCCCTTTGGAAACGTGGGCTCTGCGTGACCTTGACTCGTCCCCTAAAGGGCCCAGGAAGGCGGTCACCGCCCGGCCGGCCCGTGGCATGGTGATGTGGGGTCCTCCGAGGCCGTCCCGGCGGTACCCCCCAGTGGGGGCCCAGGGCCGGGGCAGCGCATGGGGGGCGCGCGGGACTCCCGCCTACAAGTCCCAGCGTCGCCCGGGCCGCCGCCCCGTCCCGCCCCGGGGAGCCGCGGAGCACGTGTGGGCGCTGCGGGCGCGGGGCCTGGGGCGCGGGGCCTGGGGCGCGGGGCCTGGGGCGCGGGGCCTGGGGCGCGGGGCCTGGGGCGCGGGGCCTGGGGCGCGGGGGAGGAGCCTCCGGGGCCGAGGAAGCGGCGGCCCCAGCGCCCAGCCTTCACTTGTTCGTGCTCCGACTTCTTCCCTGGCCCCATCAGGTGTCCGCATCGCCAAATGGTGTGCCTGCGCAGCGCCCCGGCGTGTCCACAGCCCTGCCCAGCTCGGGACACGCATGCTTGCTGCAGGCCGAGGCTCCGATCCGACGAGGCGCCGAGAACACGCCATCCCCTAGGCTGACAATTTAGCAGTAGCAGAGAGGTGAGGACCTGGTATTTGCATTTCCGTAAGGATGTTCACGTGGGTACTGCCAGGCCAGGGGGAGGGCCAAGGGGCCACCAGGTGTCCTCTAGACCAGCAGGAGGCTGGATGAGACGGGGCCTGCCAAGACCCAACTCCGGACACGGGGGAGGGCAGCTGAGGGCGTCCCCCCAGAGGCCCTGAATGAATGCACTTGAGCCGGGGCATTTTTCCTGGGGTCATTCGTCCCATCTCACTCAACCCCGTGCCTACTTTGTGCCAGCTCTTACGCTGGGCAGCTTCACCCACTCTGCCATGGCCTTTGTGCTCCGTGTGGGTGGGTGTGCTCTGTGGACACAGGGCTCTGGGGTTCAGTGTGGCTTCCCCAGGCCCCAGGAAGGCAGGCAGGCCCGACAGCAACTGGGCAGGGCTGGGGGAGCGTGTTTTGCCTGCTGCAAAGGTAGAGCAACTAGAATATCACAGAGCTTACCCCAGTGCCCAGGCACGCAGCGGGGGCGGGGTAAGGCAGGGGCAGAATGAGAATTGCAGGGTAGGGGGACATGGCTGTCCGGTCCAGCTGTCCCCGGAGCTGGACTGGCACTGCTGGCCGCTCTGCTGGCCCCTGAGAGAAAGGAGGCCACCCTTCCTCTCAGGGGGTCAAGGAGAAGGGTTGCCACCGTGGGTCTCTGGCTCAGCATGCGCAGGACAGGCCATGGGCACCCCAGGCCAGCCCTGCTGTGCCTCTGACCAGCCTCCCTGAGCGGGGCCTCAGGCCACACTGGTCAGGTTTCTTAATGGTGTCGCACACCTGAGTGAAGCCGGACTGCGCAGTTTCCTGGGCCTGCTGGGCTGCAGTGGTGTCGCTGCTGGACACCTCTGTCAAACCCCTGGACCCTCGGAAGTTTGGGAACGCTGAGGAGGTAGCAGAGTCACAAAGGGAGACAGGCAGGTCTGGGAGGTAGATGTCTTTCCCCTGCCAGCCACGCTGGCAGAGACGTCCCCGCCTGCGTTGAGCTTCAGCTCACTGCAGCGGGATAACAGGCCATCTGGGTTCGGGTTGGTCCTTGGGTGTCGGGGTCTATCCCCAGGAGTTGGATGTGGCCCAAGGTGGCCTTGACAATGAGTGCTGGCAAGAGCACTGGGTTCTGACGGGAAACCATGCACTCTCCATGTCAGCCCCCACCGCTGGCGAGGTTGGAAAGAGAAATCGTGAGTGGACATGGCAGCACACCCACCTGTGGACGTGGGACCCGTGGGGCCTTTGTGGACACCCCCACGGCTCTGCTGCAGGACGCAGAGGGTGTTGGTCCTCATCCCTCAGCCTTTGGTGCTAGCCTAGGCGGCCTGCCTGGAGCTGGGATGTGGTAGTGTGGTCCCAAGCAAAGCGCGGGGCACTTGTAGACACTGAGCCCAACAGCCCTAAGCCCCGTGGGCATTGACCACTGGTCGCACAGGGGAGGGCCTGTTCCCGGGGGTCTTGCTGACACCCTGTGGTGTGCAGGATGCCCCCACCATGGGATTTTCTGGCCCGGAAGATCCATGGTGCTAGGTGTAAAAAACCCCATGCTAACCCCCTCCAGCAAGCACGAATGGGAAAATAAAGCCAGCACCAGCCAGCCAGGCAGAGGACTGCTGACCGAAGGGGCCGCTGTGGCAGGCCTTCCTCTGTCCATGTGGCCAGTGTGGTCACATCCCCAGGGGACACCAGCAGGGCTCTGTACACTGTGTGGGGGGGAACGGGGGTCGGGCTCTGTGACGAGTTGCAGGTGGTGCAAGGCAGGCAGGGCCTGTGCAGGGTGAGCACGCAAGGCTGGTGTCACCTCTGCTCCCCTGGGGACAGTGTCAGGCTCACAGTTCTGCATGGGGCAGACGGGAAGGGCAACAAGAGAGTGCTGTGGATTCCAATCAGAGCGGCCCTCTCTTGCCCTGGGCCACAGGATGGGAAGGTGTAGGCCACCTGCACCGGCTTCCCGGCCCCCAAAACCCCAAGCCCGAGGCCCCAGAGAGTCTTGAATGAAAACATGAGCCCAGTAAAACCAAAAGAGGAAGCCCCTGGACTACAGGGCTCCGGGACTTCCACTCAGCCTGGCCGGGGCCTGGCCAGGCCAGCTCTGCAGCACGGGTAGTCTCATCCACCCCTTTTTGGGGAGCAGAGCCACATATATCACATTAGCTGGGGGTGACTTCCTGGCCCCAGTTGTTGGTTATATGTTGGGCATGACAATGACACTGTCTCCACGGGGCTGGGGAAGGGTACATCCAGGGGGTGTCCAGCGGCCTGGTGGCCTGATCCGGAGCCATTTGCACGTACTTACTGGCACAGCAGGTGCCAGCGGCCCCCTTGCCTTCTCCAGAGGGCCCCCCAACCCTGTCACCATTAATAGCCTCATTCGTGGCCCAATGGGCGTTCCCTCCCGGAGCCATTTGGACTGTGGAGTCCGTGACCGTCCACTGAGACCCACGATGTTGAGGACAGAAGGTCTGGATTTGTGGAGGAAAGCAGTCCTGTTGGACCCCAACAGTACCCACGCAGCCCTGGGACCCAGGAGCCTGTGTGTGCCCGTGTTAGCTGGGGCAGTCACCCTCACAGCCACAGCAGCCTGGGGTTGCTGCAGTCCCTGTCCCGCTCTGCCCCTCCCCAGTTGGGGGCACTGCAGAGCTGCTGCCCCACTACTGCACCCACAGACTCTTGGTTCACCTGGGGACCCCTGGGCCCAGGCAGCAACTCCTTCATGTGACTGCTCCAGGCAGCTGTTCCAACAAAGCCTGGAGTGTTCAACTGCGACCAGGCATACCTTCTCATTTGATAGTCGTGTGCCTGACATGGCTTCCACAGGCTGCTGGGGGCTGGGGAGCACAGAGCTGGTTCTCTGGGCCAGCCTGCACTCAGAACGCCTTGCTTTGTCAGGGGTCCTTGGCTCCCACCGCCTACTCGGCCTTCCCGCCAGCCACAGCCACTGCTCTCCCTCTGCCTCTGTTTGCAGGACGAATGTGCCAGCCTGGACACTGTGGTCACATGACGAGTGGACCAGTGGATAGAAGACCTGCCTTTCCCTGTCTGTGATTGCCTTTTAGATAAATGTCTTTAAAAGAGAAATAAATAGAATGCATGAGACATGGGAGGGGCTCCAGGAGTGTACAGATTCTGCTGTGAGACTGTGACCCCGGGCACGCAGAGCGAGCGTCTGACCTCTGCTAACTGCGTCCAGTCATGTCGGCTCACAAGGTCCTTGATGCGTCCGGGCACTCGGCACTCTGCAGAATAGTTTGCTTCCTTCCCTCCCTTCCTTCCTTTTATTTGAAAGGCAGAGTTAGAGAGAGAGAGAGCTTTCATCCTTTGGTTCACTCTCCAGATGACCACCGTGGTTGGAGCTGAGCTCATCTGAAGCCAGGAGCCAGGAGCTTCTTCTGGGTCTCCCACACAAGTGCAGGGTCCCAAAGCATTTATTCCTCTGAGAGAACACGAGCTCCTGTCTGCTGCTGGGTCATGCCTCCAGTGCCCTCAACAGCTGATGCTGGACTAGGAGCCAGGGATGTGTGCCAGGTCTCCCACACAGGGAGGCAGGGACACAGCCACTCTGAGCTGTGTGCTGCTGAGGAAGTGCGTCAGCCAGAAGCCGGAACTGACAGCAGAAGGACTCAGTACGGGATGCTTCCTAACCCCTATCCTGGTGTTCTCTCAAGGTCTGTTCTCAGGTGATGCACGGCTGTCTATTCATATGGCTACAATGTGATGGGTTCTTTTTTTTTTTTAAAATGTTTGAAAGGCAGAGAGAAAACAGAGACCTTTCATCTGCTGGCTCACCCCACAAGATGCTCACGCCAGTCAAGGCTGGGCCATGCTGAAGCCAGGAGCCCAGAACTCAACTCAGGTCACCCTGTGGGTGGCAGGGATCCTAATACTTGACCATCACTTGCTGTCTCCCAGGATGCCCAACAGCAGGGAACTGGACTTGGACGTGTAGCCCAGATTGATCCAGGATGTCCGGCCCCAAGCCTTACACCTGTGTACTTGTCAAGTCAGGATACGCCTCAAGCGTGCACCCTTTTTTGGTGTTGGGAGCACTCAAGGCTGCGTCGTAGTAACCCTGAAGCGGCTTGCTTTGTCCTCCATCCATGCGGGCTCGGGCTCGCTCGGCTCCAGGGAGCTAGGGAGTAGGAAATGGCAGCCGAGAACACCTTCTGCACTGGGGCCGCTCGCTGGCGCCATCTGCTGGTCCAACGAACAGCCGGGGGGCGTGCATCTCAAACCTCCCAGGGAATCCAGCCATCCCACCCGGCACTTGCAGAAACGGGAGCTAGGGGACTGGACACCCACCCCCAGCCAGCCATAGCTCAGGCTACTTGCACCACTTGTGAGATTGCAAGTCTCTCCCATCTTATCTTACAGATACAGCAACTGTTGATCTGATGATCAAAAAGATTTAAACTGGGATTTGGAGGCAGGTACCCTGGCTCTGGCACAGGTTGCTAACAGGGGTATCATCCAGCTACTGCAAATGTCACATCAATATATTCACTCCTCCCATCCAAGGGAGAGCACAGGGGATGGCTCCTGCTGGCCTGCAGGGGCGTGCGACTGGAACGCAAGCATGCATCCCAAGACAGATAAACAAGTGACCGTACAAAGAAAATGCCAACCCGGGACATTCAGGCAGCCCCCCGAGTTCATGGAGTATAGGATTAAAATGTGTGTATTGGGGTGGTGTGCAGGGGCTTCAACATGTGCCCAGTCCTCACTTTCCGTTTTATTTATTTTAAGATTTATCCATTTTTATTGGAAAGGCAGATCAGAGTTTTGGAGGAGAGATAAAAGATCTTCCATCTGCTGGTCCACTGCCCAAATGGCCACAATGGTAGGAGCTGAGCCAATGCAAAGCTGGTAACCAGGAGTCTCTTCCAGGTCTCCCACTTGAGTATAAACTCCCAAGTCTTTGGGCCATCCCTCACTGCTTTTCCCAGGCCACAAGCAGGGAGTTGGATGGGAAGTAGAGCAGCTGGGACTCAAACCAGCACCACATGGGATCCTGGCGCTTGCAAGGTGAGGATTTAGCCATTGCACCAGGCCTGCCACCTTCACTTGTTGCCGAGCTCCCTGCTGGTGTGCCTCCTGGGAAGCCGAGCTCATACCTGGCTCTGGGCTTCAGCCTGGCCCAGCCCTGGCTGTTGTAGGCCGTTTCCCTTCTGTTTATTCTTCCATGCCTTGATTTTCACTGCATTCTTATGGTTACTTTCTGCTTTAGGTAAGACACCCATTTTCCACATTTTGTAAGACGTGATGGCAACAAATCTGACGTGCTTTGAACATGGCCTTTAGCTTCTCTGCGTTGCTCTAACAGGGAGCCACAGAGTGGGCAGACTCCTCTCCCAGTCCTGAGAGCAGGAAGCTGGCATCTGGGAGGCCCTGCTTGCTGTATCCTCCCCACAGCGGTGTGCAGGACAGCACCCTGCAGAAAGCTGGGGGCTGAACTTGTCTGTCCATCAGCACCCAGCCACCCAGGGTCCCCCTTGCCCACACTGCCCTGGCCACTGTGGCCATCTGGGGAGTAAACTGACAGATTTCTCTCCCTCTTTGCTTTTCAAAAAGATTTTTTAAAAATTGTATCAGTTTTCTTTGAACTGAAAGGGGGCCTACCATGGACCCCTACTAGGTGCCGACGGCACGCAGCAGCACAGGTGCCGCGGGGACAGTGAGGCTGAGGTAAGAGTTCTTTGAAGACTCCACATGAGCCGAGGGAGCCAGTGAGCGGAGGCTAACACACCCACGCTTCGGCATCAAGTCTGCACAGACCAGCCTCGGCGGCATCTGAAAACATGGTGTCCTTCCACTTCATGCAGCCCACCTCAAGCCCCAGACTGGGAAAGAACATTCTAGAGGGGCCCAGGACGATGGCTCCATGGCTAAATCCTTCCCTGCCACTCCCCAGGGTCCCATATGGCCACTGGTTGGTGTCCCAGCTGCTCCGTTTTCCACCCAGCTCCCTGCTTGTGGCCTGGGAAAGCAGTCAAGGACAGCCCAAAGCCTTGGGAGTCTACACCACGTGGGAGACCCGGCCAGAAACTCCTGGCTCCTGATCAGCTCACCTCTGGCTCTGTGGACATCTGGGGAGTGAGCCAGCAGATGGAAGATCTATCTATTCTCTCTGCACATCTACTTTCCAGTAAAAATAAATCTTGAAAAAACAATTCTAGAGAGCTGTGCTTTACTTGTCATTCTCTCTAGTTGGTCACTGAGCAGTGAGACCGGCCAAGTTAGTACATCTCCTTCACCTCACCCAACTCTTTCTTCAGGGCAGTTCTATGTGCTAGATCTTCCCATACAGACTGTAAAACCACAAGACTGGTCGAGAAATGGAAAAGGGGAAAAAAATGTTATCTCCAGATGATAAACTTTAGGGTAAAACACAGGACCAAGGCATCATGGGTTGGAGCTCGTTTGTCACCAGACTACCAAGGAATCTGAAACGCTGAGCACAGGCAGTCTGTTCGGAGAGCTTTATTGTCATTGCTTTTTATGAGCAGGCAACGCACCCCACAGACCACCGTACTGGACGCTCAGTGAGTGAAGCCGACAGACCAGCCCACACAGGACGGCGCAAGCATCGGCATCACAGGGCAGAAACACAGCCAACTCAAACACCATGCTGCACGTCACTTTGGATACTTACCAACCAGGATTTAAAGAGGACAGGGAATACAAAGAACAGCCAGAAAGACCACTCTTGGGGGCACAAGTTCAGAGCAGTTTCCAGGCAGGGGACCCAGGTGCTATCTGGAAGGCCACACACAAGTCACCCATTGGTTGGGCCTTGCAAAGCAGGCTCACAAAGGCCCGCCCCTCAGCACAGGACAGACCCACCGAGAGTCACTAGAAACTGCCCAGCAGAGGTGGGTGCAGTGAGCACTGAAGCCCAGGTACCCAGGACGCCACATTCCGGCCGCCGTGTGGCAAAGACGCAAGCACACTGCTCGATGGCTCGGCAGGAGTGCCGTCCGGAGCTGCAGGGCTCCCGTGCTTCCCACGATGTCTCCAACCCCACACCGGCACTGGTGCTGACTGAGCAAGATGACCGTGTCACAGATGGACCGGACATGGGTGAAGACAAAAGGCAGCAGGGAGGCAATCTGCAAAACAGTTTATTACAAAGTACAGTACAGGGCTCAGGCTGCTTCCCACACTCTCGAACACCCATGGGGCTGGAGGACGCACTGCAGTGTCCCTGGTGCTAACTTGTACAGAACGGCAGTCTCCTCGGTGTGGCAGGGAAACCCCGGCAGGCAGTGGAGGGGAGCAGGCGAGTGCTGCAGGGGCCGTGCTCACGGCTGCTCAACAATGACATCATTTTCTCCAGGGAGTGAGACCCGTGTCCGTGCTGACGCCCCATCACCGTTGGGGCAGAGGACGGCCTGATGCCTCCGGCCGCTACTTCTTATTCCTGGGCTTCAGTTCTTCAGCTGCATTCCGCAGGAAAATGTAGTTTTTCTTTTGAGGATTATAAAATTCATGTCCCTAGAAGGAAAAGCCAATGATGTTATTCTGTGCTGAGCTCTCAATGTCAATGGCTCTGGGGTCTGTGATCGGAATCGACTGAGCAATGTCACAGGACCCTGAGCGGCTCAGGCCACATGCAAGTGGCACTAATACACACACACATGCGTGGGTGTGCAACCTGGCAGAACTCCCCTCCCATCACGCTGTCCCACAGGGCGGGGGCAGGGGGGGGAAGAGCAGACGGGCCCAGCCTGGGCCTGCTCCATCACCTGCATGGCTGTCACCCTTTCAGTTTCGTCCAACAAGTTTGGTTCAAAAGTGACATGAGTTTCTACCATCGTGTTCGAGGCAGAGCTTTCTGAACGGGCATGCTCATGCTGCACACGCGTGACCGTGACCTCTGAGACAGTAATTCACAGAACCCCCACTGTAAGCAGATACAAATCATCTGGACTAGTCCATGCTTGTAATGCAGAGAGCGAGTATGGTCATGCTACCCGGGGCGTGCTGACGGGTCCTTGTGCACTGGGGGAAGGGGCCTCTTGGTCCTGTGTAGCCTGAACTGGTGCCCGAGTATATTTTCTTTCTTTCCAGGGGAATGAATGAATGAGTGGTGACCCATCCACACCACAGATGTGGCACACCCAGAAAGGCCTGGGTGAGTGACACACTTGCTGGCAGGTGGCAGCGGTTGGTCTGCCAACCATAAAGCCGGGCAGCAGATACTGTGGGAGACAAGAAAGGGCGTGGCATGCCTATAAACCAACTGACAGGAACAGTGAGAGGGAGGGGCCAAGTGGCCATCTCTGGTAAGAGGCCAGGGGTCTCCCAACTGGCCAATTCACGGGCTGATTAGATCCCGAAACTCATCAAGTGTGTATTCTCCTTTTTTTCATCTACTTGAAAGGAGAACAGGGCATGGTACAATGACTTGGTTGGCTATCCCTCCGATTTGCAAGTGTCGGGATCCCATATGGACACCGGTTCTAATCCCAGATGCTCCACTTCCCATCTAGCTCCCTGCCCGGGACCTGGGAAAACAGTGGAGGACGGCCCAAAGCCTTGGGACCCTGCACCCGTGTGAGAGACCAAGAAGGTCCTTTGGATCAGTTCAGCTCCGGCTGTTGAGGCATCTTGGCGAGTAAATCAGCGGATGGAAGATCTTTCTCTGTAAATCTGGCTTTCCAATAAAAATAAATAAATCTTTAAAAGCACTTAGGTCATCTTCTGCTGCTCTCCCACGTGCCGGTAGCCAGATCAGAGGTGGAGTGGCTGGCATTCAAGTGGATGCTCAATCAGGAGGCCAAACTGGCAGGCAGTGGCTTAACCTGCGGCACCAGATGCCAACCTCAGATGCATTTCAATCAAACTGCTTCAATGTTTCAGATGAACAAGGTAGTGTGGCTTGTCTGAGCAAGGCCCTGAGGAGAGCGAGTCTTTGGAGGCCAGGATGGGCATGGGCTTGGACAGAGTGAACCAGGTGGGAGACCAGAGCCTAGCGGCTGCCCACTCTCCCAGGAAGCGGCCGGGCTGACTAAAGCCAGGAGGTAAGAAGACAGGGGACAGATCTCTCTCTCTCTCTCTCTCCCCTGAAGCCATGCTCACCAGGAACATGCTGAGACAGCGAGAGAAGCCAGGAGCCAAGCTAGAACACACGCAGCCACTGGTTCCCCAGGCACAGAAGTGCAGGGCTGGTGAAGCGTGGGGTGAGTGGCTGGGGTGAGAGGAGCAGCTCAGGGGACAGGAAGGGCAGGGACAGAGAGAACAGTGGGAAGAAGGGTTCGTCAAGGAGCACAAGGGGACCACAGCGCCTGACACAGACAGGAAGCTTCTGGACTGGGCTGCAGAACACAGCCAAACAGACTCAGTACAGCTCCTAGGGGCTAAGAGGGAGCACAGCATGTGGAACAATGAAGAGCTTAAGAGAGAAGTCGGCCAGCACTAGTGGGCAGGGACAGAGCACGGGTGAGGAGGGCCAGAGGTGAGCATGGATGGAGATGAGCAAGACTGAGTCTGGGCGCTTAGCAGCCTCCCTGTCAAAACACAAGGACAGCAGGCCCGAGGCCAGAGCCACCCACTCCAGGGAGGCTCATCTTGTCCAGGGCCTTGAGGCAGGGAGTCCTTCACGTCAAGACCCAGGAGCAGGCTCATGGGCCCACGCACCGTGCATCCTTCAGAGGCATCAGAAATACAGCCAGCACTGAGTGGTGCTGCCTTTGCCTGCTGGAGTAAGAACCACCATGCTCCCAGCAGCCCTGCCAGTCACCTCCCTGGCACCGGCCTCCAGCCTAGAGCAGCAGACCAAGCATCCCAGGGTGCTGTTTCTGACTGAGGGTGGCACTCGGCCCCCTGACCCCTGAGGGAGGCCGGTCACAGAGAGGTGATAATGACCTGCCCGAAAATACAAGGCTGTCTGGCTCTGCGGTCTCATGGCACATCAAGCAGGCCTGGGGTTCCTCACCTTGGACCAGTCGTAGCTGGAGGCATACGCAAATATGTTCCCGTTGTGGTTGAAGCAGCAGGCTGCTATCGGCTGATCTAACTGCTCTGAAGTTTTGAGTTTTGTTCTGGCATCTTTGTCCCAGAAGCTGAAGCGGCCATCAGACCCCACGGTGGCCAGGGTGCCGTGCACCGGGTGGAAGGCGATGCCGTTGACCTGCAGGGTTGAGGATCATAGTGAGCGGTGGTGCGAGGAGCAGGTGTCTGAGTCAGGAAGGAACGCGCACACACTTTCTCAGCCGTGCTGCCTCCACCACTCTGCTGACCCAGGACTAAATCCTCTCTTGCCATGGAGTCCAGGCCAGAAGCTAACGCATGGACACAGACACTACTGTTTGAGTCTTGGCTCAAGCATGCATGTGAAGCTGTCCCAGCAGCACTGACAGCTGGGAAGACCTGAGGCTCGCACAGGGATGCCAGCGAGGATGGCCAGCGCGTTCCCAGAGCACACACTGCCACACAGCACGACCTACCCCTAGTGAGCATGCAAGCTCTGCAGGGAGTTGGCGTTTCATGCCTCAGTTACTCAGAGAACCCTCTACTTGTAGTTTCCAGATGTTTCCAAGGTCAAAGGGAAGCTTCTAAGAGCGTACCGCATAGATGTCTTGAGGGGCAGAAGTGTTGGTCCCATTGGATCGATGGCATTTAAAGGTGAAGTTATCCTTGGCAGGATTTGGAGGATTGATGTAGTGAATGGCGACTCTCCCCTCAATGCTTCCGAGAGCAAATCCAGTTGGCTTGTTCTGTTTGTCTTTAAAAATAGCCACACACCGATGCTACAGTTAAAAAACAAAGAGGTCACGACAGTGTAAATGCAAGGTCTCATAGCTAACACACATCACAGTTGTGGGCGAGAGGCATCTCAGTGGCTCCTCTAAGATCTGTGCTCTTAGCCACACGACTGGGTAAGTGCACCGAGGCCACAGTCTCCCTCGGAGCCCCCGTGTGTTCCAGCACGGGACTGTCCCCTCAGCTGGGGAGGCAGGGGGCTGGTCCCTTTCAACAGCACAAGTCACGGGGCAGGTGGGCACCCTTCAGATTGCCCACTGCACTGTGCCTGCTGGGGTGAAAGGAAGCAGAGGGCGTGGTGCAGCAGCACTCCTCACTGTGCAGGGGCCACACACGGTCAAAACCAGCAGTACACTCCTCACTTGGATGGCAGAAGATTCCTCTCTTGCCTTTCCAAGGAAGTAAAACTACACTGCAGAGTTGTTCCGAGAAGCCCCCAACTATCTTCCTACTGGCTCACCATCCTGCCTTCCCTGCCGCCTGCCTGGTGCGCTAGCTCTTCACTCTTTAGCAGCAGCCTTCCCAGAGGCCAGCCACGAGCCATGAGCCACGAGCCCTCTCACGGCAGCCTGTATCTCATCTCTCTCCCATCAATGAGCTGGCTCCTTTCATGCACCTGCTGGCCAAGTGGACATCCTCCTGGGACAAGTATTCATTCAAGTCTTCAGCCACAACATTTCTTTATTTAAAGATTTATTTATTTGTATTGGAAAGGCAGATGTACAGGGAGAAGGAGAGACAGAGAAAGATCTTCTGTCTGCTGATTCACTCTCCAAGTGGCCGTAATGGCCACAGCTAAGCCAATCCAAAGCCAGGAGCTATCAGGTATCCCACATGGGTGCAGGGTCCCAAGGCTTTGGACCATCTCTCTGCTTTCCCAGGCCACAAGCAGAGAGATGCATGGGAAGTGGAGCAGCTGGGACATGAACTGGTACCCATATGGGATCCCGGAGCATGCAAGGTGAGGATTTAGCCACAAACCATTGAGCCAGGCCCTCTTCAGCCATGTTTCAATCAGGTCTGTTTTCTTGCTGTGGAGTTCTAGGGATTCTTCATATATTTTGGAAATGGATACCCTTGTCAGACAGAGATCACAAACATTTTTTTTCCCCATTCTATAGACTTTTTGTTGTTTCATTTGCTATGAAGAGACCTGCTAGTCTCACTTCTCTATTTCTACTTTTGCTATCTGTGTTTCTGGCATCGTAATCAAGATCATTACCAAGATCAATGTCAAAGTCGGGATCTAAATGGAGACTTGGAATACATTTTCCATGAAGATTCCAGGGGACTGAGAAAATAGATGAGTCAAGGCTGACGTTCAGGACTCCAGCTTGGACAAGCAGGTGCAAACTCCCATTTAATGATCTGAGAAGAGCCTCTGTCAATCAGGCCGGGGGGGTGTGCGGGAGGGCCAGGCAAGATCAGCTGTCCACTCCCCTCCGCCGCCACCTACCCAACAACCAGGCTCAGAGCCAGCTACATACTGAGAACAAGGCAGCAACAAATACCAACAGCTTCTGCCTGGAGCTCACACATGAGCAGGCAGAACCAGGCAGAGTAAATGAGCACACTCAGTGTGTACTTAACACACATCTGTATCACCACAGAGCAGTGGGCAGTGGCCAGAGCCCCGAGGAGGGCAACGTGTGACCAAGATGCTGCAATGTGCAGTCCTGGGTTTCGTGCAAGGCACACAGGGGAGCAGTCAGATGGGGTGTTACCGTCTGGTCCCTGGGATCCCTGAGCAATGCTGAGGGGTGGGGTGGGAGATGAGCTCACACCTGGACAGAGGACGGCACAGTGTTAGGTAGATGCCCAAGGAAGCCTGTCAGCTAAGACCCAGTGAGGAGACACAAGTCGCAGTCAGATGGGTGGGCAACAAGCCAGGGGCCAAGAGGTCACCGACATGCCTGACTGTGAAGGAAATGTGGGCCCCAGAGGCCCGGAGGAGGACTCCAACATAGCCTGCTGGACACTGGGAAGGTGCTGAGCACTGCACTGCAAGCCACATAGCGCCACCACGAAGTCCGATCACCCAGATCGGGACAGTGTGCCCGGGTGAGCAGGCGTCAGGTGCACAGGCCTGGGCATTTAACGTGGCTCACCTGATGTTTCAGCGGGGATTCTATCCTCCTGAACTCGGACGGCTGGTTCTCCAACTGATAGACAATCAGGCCCCTCTCCGCTGTCGCCACCACGGCCATCGGGTATATCTAGGGACGAGGAAAGCAGAGGTGCTGAGGGCCAGTGGGTTAAACCGACACCCGCAGCATCCGCATTCCAGATCAGAGTGCCTGGTTCAAGTCCAGGTGACTGGCTCCCTGCTAATGTACCTGAGACAACAGATCCTGCCGTTCAACAGGGGCCTGGCTTGTTTCTAAAAATGAGTTATAAAATATGAGAATACTTAGGACATATACTAAAGAATGGAGAAGTGAAAATCACCTATACCACATCCTCAAACGATAGTTGTTAACACTATAATTTATCCTAGTTTTTCTCAGCATAAAGTCTATGCCTATTTGTGTAGAATTCATAACCTTTAGTTGAAACATTCTGTGAACACCAGCCCGCATCACACGTCTGAGAACACCCACAGTGGATGGCAGGGTCCCTCACGTGGCCGGAGGCCGGGGTTTCTTGGCCTGTGCCTACCTTGTTGGTTCATGAGGCCACTTCCAATGTGTCCCCATGTCTTACTAAGTTACAGAAATCAACACCATTTGCATCTTGGGCTAGTCTTTAAAACCTTGAGAGTGGAAACTGGGACAACCGTAGATAACATGGACAAAGTCCTAAAGCCCAGGAACTGTATCACAGGCACCGTGGCAGGAGGGGCAGCCGTGCCAGGCTGCCCACTCACACAGGCTCAGGGCAGCACAACACCCTGCTCCCCTGAGCAGGAGGACCGCAGCAATCTGAGCTACATCCTGTATCAGCCAACAAAGTGAGGGACTTTCAGACCACCTACGAGTCTGCAGCTTGCTCTAAATGAAAAATGATGACTTCGTATTTTTCAAAGGATATATAAGCTTGGAATTCCTTACCACATCAGCACAGTAACACCTCTCAGGGAGTTGCAAAACCATCATGGGGTTTGACGACCTGGTGTCCCAGAACTGAAAGCAGAAGAGGAGCCAGTGAGTGAGTGCTTCCACTCAGAGCTGCAGCCCAGACGGGGACACGGCCTTACCTTCAGAGTCTTATCCCAGCTCCCGGTCATCACACAGCTGTAGTTGGGGGCTTTGATCCAGTGTATGGTTTTAACAGGAGCATCGTGCTTTTAGGAAGACACAAACAGAGTAAATGAGCCATGTCCAAGAGAAGGAAGGAGCCAATTAGCTACTGTGGCCACAGCAAATGGAACCCAAAGGGTGTTCAACACTTTCTTTGGGTCAACAGACCTTTGGGGCTTTGCTTGTGGGCAAGCGGCACGAGAGCCAAGTCCCTCCCCAGGAGACATGAGCAGACAGCACCACTCGCTCAAGCTGCGAACCAACTACGCAACCAGGCTCTTGCGTCCACAGCACTGCGGTCTGAGTGCCTAATGCCCTTCTGAAGCCCGTCAGCAACACCAGGCTTTTTTCCTGAATGATTCTGGGGAGCCAGCAGGACAGAAACTCTAGTACTAGGCTCTTCCATGCCCACCTTCTGTCTGTTTCTGTGTTCTTCACACAGAAACATGCCTGTTGTCCCCAGACCGACCACGAAGGCTCACGGGGCGCGGCATCAGCCCCTTCCTCATTGCTGTGACTTCCAGCCCCAGCACAAGGCAGGCGCAGCAGGCAGCTGCTCCACAGCAACCGACCCAAAACACAGCCAAGAGGGGGCTGCACACGGTGCTGGGTGTCAAACACGTGTGAACTCAAGGACCACACGCACACTCATTTTTTATAAACCTGAATGCAACTAATTTCTCAAAGACACTCAGGCAGGATAAAACAACCTGTGACGTGCTGGCACAAATGAGATCGTACCGAGATCTCTGATACACTTAGGCTTAACCAGTTTGGTCTTGCTCACTAACAGGGCTCGAGAGCCGGGCCACCAGGCTGTCAGCACCCCGCAGAGCGCGTTACCTGTGCGATCTGGATCGCCTGATTGCTGTTAAGGTCCCACATCTTGGCAGTTTTATCACAAGATGCAGTAAACACTTTGCTCCCATCCTGAAATAAAGAAAACGTAGCATTCTGAGAAAACTTGAACCTCTAGCCACAGGTGCACCTGGATGCTAGGCTGAACTTAGGCACATTTCATCTGACCGTATGTACGTTTCCATGGATTCAAGGACTAGTGTTTTGCAAGTGTCACACATAAAATGCATTTTCTGCTCTACATTTCCTGATTTGTTTTTAAGGAAATTAAACATAAATAGGTAAAAAGAAATGAAGCAGCGCTTAAAGTGATGCAGTCGAAACCAAGTCTTCCTCCCTGACTGCCTGCTCTCCTCGCAGAGGTGAACTACAGGAGAGCGATGGCAGACACAAGCATGTCCTTCACACCCGCTAACTGTAACGTTCCCCACATCCATCCTTCTCTACGTAGGCACAGATATCACAGCTCGTCTTCACACTATGCAATGAAACTGCCCTAACTTCACTGCTTCTCCGTGAACTACACAGGAGCCAGCAGCTCGCAGGCAGCGTGTGCTTCTGAAAATGTTCACGCACACGGGGAGAGCAGATGCTGCTGCCGCCGCTAGAGCACAACAAGCGAGCGTGGCTGAGGAGCCCCTCCATGCTCAGAGCCCCCTCAACACCGCCCACCAGGGTGGGCTCCAGGTCCCCACCTGGAAAGGATGGAACCTGCTCTTCGCCTAGGAAGGAGTCACAAGGATAAGGCCACAAATCCTTGCAGGCAGCAACCCAAATCAGTGGTGATGCACCCTGTAGTGAGGACCCAGGAAGCCCCCGCCGTGGTCCCCAGTGCGTGCCTGCCGAGACCAGGAACCCAGACTCAAAAGTGGCCATGCTCTACGATTCTTCCTTCGTGGTGGTTAATACAACCCAAGGGCCAGGGACGGAATAGGAAGGCTTGGACTACAGGGGGCAGGAGACACTCTGGGGATGATGCACATACTTCCAGGTCACAAAGTTACACACTGAAAGCAAGTTCAGTGTTTACGATATGCAAATCCTGCGGAATCAACAGGACCCAAACTGATGGGTCTGAGGCTGAGCCACCAAGGCAGGTGACAGGGAGGCTGGGGCCTCTGCATGCCAAGCAGGGCTGCCAGTTGTACTCTGCTGTGAGGTGGCAGCATATACTGCTAATACTCAGGGGCTAATACTCAGAATCTGTGGAGGACAAGAAAACTCCACAAAGCCAGGATGCTGCAAACATCTAGCACAAACCTTTTTTTTTTTTTTTTTTTTTTTTTAAGGATAGCACATTCATAATTTTAGGACAGCTGTTTTTTACATTTAAAAAGTCTAAGGTTTTACTGACATATTACCTTGAGCAAGGAATTAGATCCTTTTTCAAAAGCCTTTCCATATTTACTTCTAAGTACACCATAAGTTCATTGTTGAACTGCCTCTGGGTCCTCCACATGGACAGCACAGACCCAAGCACAGAGCCCTCATCTGCCACCTCTTGGAGCACTGCCAGACTTAGTCCCGGCGCCCCGATTCTAGACGCAGACCTCTCTTGGGGAGCATCTAACTAAGCCTAGGCTCAAGAACCAACCAAGGCAGGTGTCTGGCCCAGCAGTGAAGACACCTTTGGCTCAAGTCCCAGTTCCTTTTACGACTGGACGAAAGATCTTCCTCTCTTTCTCTCCTCCTCTATGTATATCTGACTTTCCAATAAAAATAAACAAATTAAAAAAAAAAAAAAAGAGAAATGACCAGAACCTACATCACTCCAGCAGACATCGAGCACAGGCCCGGTGTGCATCTGCTGGGCTTTGGGAATTGTCTGTCCACTGTCTTGAACTTCCCAGCAGCGCACCTGTAACAAGACAAAGGAGGGAAAACTAAGCAGTTCATGAAGCAATCCGCACACTTGCCAACTCGTAACGGAGCGCCCCGACAACACACAGGCTCCTGGTGTCAGCCTAATGATCTCACTTCAAGAACGGAGCACCTGAAATGTGCAAGGGACTTCAAAACACTGGAGCAGAAAATCAAAAATCAAAATCTGAGTTTACAAACTCTGAAATCCACGAGCACGAATCTATGTGAGCAGCTGTCCTCCCAAACCATGCAACTGCCGAGGACTCTGTCCGCGCCCCCGGGGTGCCCGTTCCCAGGGCACAGCCCACTCACACACGCCTAGGCTCAACAGAACCCAGGCCAGCGGGAGGGGGGGGGAGGCTTACCCTTCCACTCTGAATACTGTAATTTGAAAAATGGCAAGAACAGGAAAAAGCCCCCACCCCGAGCCAAACAGGTCTAGGCCACAGCTGCAGAGGTGCCAGCCTTCCGTGCACACGCGGCTCTCAGAAGAGGGAGAGGGCAGCGTGGGCTCGCCCTCGAGCCGTGCAGTCGTCACCGGCAGCAGCTGCTCACGGCCACTCTTCTCCTGGCTTTTAGCCGCAAATCCCCTCAAGTGTGTCCCGCAGCAGCCCACAGAAAGGAAATCCCTCAATCCAGACTGCCCAGCTCTGTCCCTGGCTCCCGCCATCCCGTCCCACTGCACACAATAATCTTGCTCCAATAAAGGCTTTCTGTCACTCAAGCACAGCATGAATTACAATCACCAGGCACGGACATTTCCAGCAAGGTCACGCAGGCAGTGACCAGGAGCCCGCTTTCCGAGCCGGCCGGCAAGGTCCAGAGCCTGGCCGCACTGGGGCCGGGTCAGCTGCTCCCTCCTCCAGACCTCGGCATCCCAGGCCACACAGAGGAGCTGACAGGACGCAGGCAGTGCCTCAGTCAGTGAAGACCAACTCAGATGACGCAGCCCGAGCCCACAAGCCTCATCAGTTCCAGAAGTGGCCCACGGGGCAGGGGGTTCAATGCGGCCTGGGGCCCTCTGCAGGAACCATTCCCGGCAGTGCATGGTGTTCTGGCCTGCCCTGCTGCTCCTGGGAACTCCTGCTACTGTGAGCAGAGTCTGGCACACAAGTGCTGAAGGATTTAAGTTTGCCCCTGCTTCTGTGAAGCGTCTGTCACATGCTGTGCTCACTCTCCAGCCAGAGCTCTCTGCTTCTACATCGACTCATCACACACGGTGGGTGAGTACAGTACCTGCGTACACTTGCACTATCATCCAAATCGGTGCAAGCTGTCACATCCACTGGAAGGGCGTTTTCAGGGTGCCAGTGCTGTCCACCAACACCACACTGACCTGGTAGCACTGTGCGTCTTCCCTGGAAACCGGCACAGGCCCGGCTGCTCCCACTCACCCTCCAGATTCCCGCAGAAGGCCACAAGCAAGCCTCAACTGCCGCCGCTGTCCCTGGACAGGACAGCCCACCGGCCCAGCTGGGCAGCCCGCCCAGCGCTGAGCCCGACAGTCCTCGCACTCGGAGCACTTACATCATTTGCCCATGACCCAGCGATGAGGAAGTTCCCTGGTAAGGTGGGCGGGCTGAAAGACAGACAGCCGATGCTGTCATCCGGGGAAGAGGTCACTTCAATGTCCTGCGGGAAGAGCTCACGTTAAGAGGTTTGCAGCCATTGCCACCACCCTGTCTGCTTGCTTCTGAACACCTGACAGAGGGCCTGCCAGGCTCAGGCACCAAGCAGAAGCCCTAGGCCCTCGGATCTCCAGGGAGTGCACCTGCACAGGACGACCCACAGCACCCAGGTGGGACGCCCATGGCCACAGGTTCCCGACACCTGTTCTCACCAGCCCTGCTCCTCCCCCAACCTCAGAATTCCCATCCACCAGTCCTTGGCTGGAGCTGGAAGTGGACAACTCAAGCGCATGCTTTGAGGCACCTGTTCCTTGGGGGACTAGATGAGCTAGCAGCCGGGAGGAACAGGCCAGGCAGGGAAACCCAGCTTTCCTGGGCTCTGATAACTTGGGAAAGTTGAGGTTTCTACTGCCCAGCCAAGTCTGGTCTTCCTGTTGTCACTGCGGTGGAACAGCCTTGCCCATCCTGCCCCGGTGCCACCAGGCCTCACAGTACCTTCATGGGGTTGTGATTATCTGTGGTCGTGCTGCCAAACATGCTGGTCCCGCTGCTTCCAAAGCTTGAGGTCGTTCCAAACAAACTCATTTTGCCTCTGAAAAGCAAAGTGGAGAAAGTCAAAGACCCTCTCACTGCCACTGACAGAGAAAGATCAAAGAGACAATAAGTATACTGATTTTTAAAATACAGTTTATTTTTTAATGAAATTTTCAGTTTCTGTATGTTGTACATTACTTATTCACTCATCCACAAGACAAAGGGACAGAGAGGGTTCCCGTGCCCGGGGTCGTCTCTAACGCCTGCCGTGGCCGGCAGGGACGCAGGCCCCTGTAGCGGGACCTGCTGGCTTGGAGGGAGTGCAGTTCAGGCAGCGGAGCCTGGGCTCACACCCAGGCACCTTGGCTCGCAACACAAGCCACCCAACCAGCACCTTAGTGGCCACACCAAACGCCCACCCCAAAGGCTACTTCAGAAACTGCAAGGATAATGCTGCTCGTGCCACGATAAAGCGGGCTAATCCTCCACCCACGGTGCCGGCATCCCATATGGGTGCTAGTTCAAGACCCGGATGCTCCACTTCCAGTCCAGCGCCCTTCTAATGCCTGAGAAGGCAGCAAAAGATGGCCAATTGCCCAAGTCCTTGGGTCCCTGCAGCCACATGAAGAAGACAGTGGGAGACACAGACAAAGCTCCAGGCTTCGGACCGGCACAGCCATTTGGGAGAGTGAACCACTGGACGGCTGTCTCTCCTTTTCTCTCTCTAAAGTCTACATTTCAGATAAATATAAACAAGTAAATAAATCAAGAGCCTTCACTTGGCACTGGCGCAGGATAAACCAGAGTGAAGTCCTCAGTTGCCAGCTGGCGAAGAACTCTGCTCCTGTAGTTGGAGACAACAGTCACTGAGATGGCAGCAGGCCCCATTCCTATCCTCGGATCTAGGCGGCAGCAGTGCCCGACAGCAGAGGCAAGCCAGCATGCCTGGGCACCTGCTTTGTGACACACAGCCTGGTCAGTGTCAGTGTCGTTCTGACATCAGATGGGATTATGCGGGAAACGGGGTGTCCCACCTGGCAGGCCCCTCTTCGCTTCCTCCCAGGAGGCTGTGTCACCACCTCCTGAAGCTTCTCACACTCCGCATCTGCCATACTGCCCTTCCCAAACTCCCACCAGCAGAGGTACGCGTTAGTCACAACCCAAAAGGAGCCAGGCAGTGGGTAACCTGGAGCAGGCCAGCAGTGGGGAGGCCAGTGAAGTGCCAGGATTCAAGGCTCCGACAGCCTGTCTAGACCTGGCAGCCTGACTCTGGGCAAGCTAGCCGGCCTTGTGGAGTCCGCAGGCTCAGGTGAGGTGGCATACAGTCCCTTCCCAGCCCCTCCTTGGCTTCCAGCAGGGACAGTGCATGCGCCCTGGGATGTGCGGCCACTGTCCCTCTCACATTAACAACTGCTAGGCACTGCCAGGCCCCCATGGCACGGGCACAGTGCGGCTCTCCATCCGTGCCCTCCGGCCCACCAGCTCTACCTGCAGGGATTCGCCCGCTCTCCTTCCCCTCGGAGCATTTTCGGACCCCAACTCCACAGCGGCCACCCCAGGATTCTTGGCAGCACTGAGTGGCCTGATCCTGCACCTACGTTTACGGAAAGTTCCCCAACTCATCACGTCAACCTACACTGTGAGGGACCCTTAACGCTGCCTCGCAAGGCGTTTTCCGAGAGAGCCGTCGGCCTCCCGGCCTCCCCGGGGCGCTGGGACATCACCCACACCTGCGGTCACATCCCCTCGACGTCTTCATGGCCCCTGTCCCGGGTCCGGGAACTCCCGTCAACGCCCGCCCCAGCAGAACGCCAACTCGGGGAGGGCAGGGGCAGTCGGGGCGCCGGGGGCTCGGGTGGACACGAGCCCGGGCACGGTGCGCGCGGACACAGGCGCGCGCGGACACAGGCGCGCCGTCCACGGGGAGCGCCGGGCGAGGCGTCTGCAAGGCGCGCGGGCACCGGCGGGCCCGGCCATGAGCCCAGCCAGGTTCTTCCCCGATGGCCGAGCCTCGAGGGGACCCCGAGGGACCGCGGGCGCAGCTTGGCCAGCGGAGCCGGCCCGGCCTCCGCGGGCGCCATGGCGGCGGGCACTCGGGACGCAGCGAAGGCTTACCTCAGAGTCGCGCCGCGCCGCCGCGGGCCGCCAGCAGCAGGGGCCACTTGCAGCTGTGCAGAGCAGACGACGGCGAGGAGGAGCCCACGAGAGCCCAGGGAGCTCGCGGTCTCCCCACGCGCGGGGTGTAGCGCGCTCTGAGCACAGCGCACGCGCCGCGGAGACGTTTCCTGTGCGCTAGGAAGGCATCAAGGAAAAGGGCGGCTCCTTCCGGCAGGCGACGACGCCTGCGCAACAGCGCTCTTGACGCCGAGAGGAAGTCCCGACGCCAGCAGTTGGTCGATTGGTCCGAAGTTGGCGTCTCCGCTGCTTGTTGCTAAGCAACCGCTTCCCTAAGCAGGTGAGCGAAGGCACACTGGAGAGTGAATTCTGCAGGAAGGTTACGGGTGTTTGTGCACAGAGCCAGGATAGATTTTAAGGTGTTCGCCCGAGAGCGAGCCAGGGTTACGGACAGCGGTGGGCTGGTGGGTTCCGAGGAGTGTCCGTGTACGGCAGAGGTCGAGGTGGGGCAACCACCACCCGTGTGTGTGCACCCCAGGAGATTCGTTGGGGTGTAGCAGAAGCCCGCTGCAGCATGAGGCATGGGGTCCGCAGGCACCTATGTTTTAGGTGATTTACGCGCGACATCCTCACAATGACTGTCGGGTCATGGTTAGTGTTCTTACCCTTGCTTTGCTATGGAGGAACCCATGACCAAGTTGTGATTAGTCGGCAGCCATAAAGACAGTGAGTAGAGTTGGAATGCATGCTGCCTGACCCCAAATCCGCCCCTCTCCTTCCACCCCTCTACACACACACCCCATACTCCAAAAAGAGAATAACAAAACATGCGTCTGGGCCCCAGCACGTTAGCTTAGTGGCTAACTCACCCTGCACACCCAGGAGCCCATGTGAGCATGGCTTTGTGTCCCAGCTGCTCTGCTTGCTTCCCATCCAGCTCCCTGCCTGTGGCCTGGGAAAGCAGGAGAGGACGGTCCAAAGCCTTGGGACCCTGCACCCACATAGGAGGCCCGAAAGAAGCTCCTGCCTCCTGGCTTTGGGTTGGCTCAGCTCTAGCTGTTGTGGCCAGTTGGGGAGTGAGCCAGTGGGCAGATCTTTCTCTTTCTCTCCTCTCTGTATATCTGCCTTTCCAAAAAAAAAAAAAAAATCTTAAAAATAAAATAAATAAAATAGAATTTTTGTGGATTCCAGCCACACAGTGTAGGTGAGAAGAAAAACAAAATACATTAAAGATTGATCATAGTTATAATTCACCTGGTAGACTTGGCTACCATATTTACACAATTAACTATTAAACGTTCATGTTTTCCAGGTGAATAGAAAATAAGTCAGTTTACAATTTTAGCACCGGTTCCTTTTCATCTGATGTGCTGCTTAATTCTGGGCTTAGGACTGAAATGTCGCGGTGTGTGGGTGGGAGTTTTGGCAAACAGCTGGGTGCAGGGTGGCTTTTGGGAGATCACAGAAGCAGGTCGCTGAAGGGGCACCTGCACACGCCCTCACGCTCCTGAAAATGAAGATCTGGGAGAACAATGACCTTTGGGCAGCAGAGGGCGCCCTTGGCCTGCGGAGGGGGCTTTGCTTGGGCTGCAAACCTCCACGAGCGGACAGTCACCCTCGAGGCCAACCCAAGGGCACGCTGCTCCAGCTCCCAAGGGGGGTGTTTGGATGAACAAGGACATCAGTTCTGGCAGCACCCCGGAATCTGCATTAAACTAACGAGGCACGGGGAGAGGCGGAGGCAAGGCGCAGCTGCAGACCCTCCGGGGCTTTGCCTATTTTTGTAGCCAGTGCCTTGTGTGTGGTTCTTGTTTTTTTTTTTTCCAAGCAATTACGACTTATGAAATCACTTAGCGTTCCCATTGTTTGGGGTCGCTCTGAGCCCTTAAGGAAAAGCCCCGAGATTCTGTACGGCTTGTCTGCTGTACCAGCTTTTATCCACTTTAATTATAAACAGGTTCCAATTCAGTGTTCTTTTTTGATTAAAATTATGAATATGTATATACATACATCTGTATATTACATGATGGTCACGGGGTGACTGTCACCAGCCCTCACTTTAAATGGCCGTATATCTTTACAGTAATCCTTTTCAGAAACAAAACTCAAGACTTCAAATTGTTGATGGCTCCCAAATAGCTACTAGCATAAAGTTTTCATCTGCATCCAATAAAGATGAGAAGCAAAGCCAAATTATAGTGTGTTTTGCTCTCCTTCCATTTTTATTTCCCAATTGAAAACTCTTTGAAGTAAATTTCCAGTCATAAACTTCAGATGTGAGGATGTGAACTGAAGGCATATGCCAGTCCATTCCCAGTTCTAATGGCTGTCGTGGGTTGTCAGCCCCTCCCGCTGGGTGGACCATCCTGACCCAGATATGTGGCGGGTCCAATGTATTTCTGAGTGATTTCCTTCTTTACAAAATCTGTCAAAGTTCAGTGACATTATTACATGTTTAGAGAATAAGTTTGGCACAAAAATTAAAACTTGTGATTTATGAAACACTTCTGGAATATTTGGTAGTCTCAGAAGTCAAGTCAATGGCAAGCCAGGAACAAAAACAGAAAAAGCAAAGCAGAAGCCCAGCATGCTGGAGTGTTCTCAGAAAGAAGCGCTTGGCTTGCATGTGACCAGGGAGTAGAATGCACGTGTGACCATCACACCCGTCATTTGACGGGAACTGTGTGTGTTTCCTGCACGGTGAGCACCCAGCCACATGGGAGGCCCTGTGTGACTGGGTCCTGGCTACTCTACAGGGAGGGCCAGGCTCTCCTGCTTCGGGACTGTGTGACCCTGGTAAGGCCCCAGTCCACACTGTGAGTCTGTTTTCTCATCTGCAGTATGGGCTGGTGGGAGATGCACCCTGCTGCTGGGCCTTTGTGAATGTCCACCTTGCCCCCCATTCCCGGGCAGGGCAGGCTGCCTGGCTGAACCCCCGTGCTCTCACACAAGGATCCCAGGAAGGACTCACTGCTGAGGACTTTCGTTCAAGTTACCCTTCCCTCACAGTCTGCAGTCGGAAGGTGCTGCTGCTGTGTTCCTGGCTTTGGAGAGCGCTCCTTAGTGCTGCTGTGACCAGTGTGGTTGGAGTGACCACAGGGCGCTCGGGGGGACCGAGTGGGTAATGGCTGAGCGATGACTGGCACGTGCAACTGTGATTCAGTGTTCTGTTCTCTCTCTGTATAAAATAACTAACCCAGCATTTCTGTTCCATAGGTTGATAGTCTGGTTTACGGTTACAGGAAGTTGTCAGTACAATTAAAAGCTTATTGAAAGTTCAGAACAAAATCATAAAGCTCATCTCTGGCAAATAGGAGAGTTATTGCCAGGGAAGGGTTGGCATCTCCCTTGGAGAAGGGCCTCACCGAGTCCTGAGGCTTTCCTGCACCCCACAGCCGACACACTCCTTGTGCCCTAGTCCTGAACACCTGGATCTTGGTCCCCAAAAGTTCAAGTTGCTGAAGAAAATTTCCAAAAAGTGATATTATCACTGGGAAGGGTGCTAAAAAAATAGCAAAGACCACATTGACACAAATGTTGATTCACAGCAAGTTTTACTAATTTTACAATGAATTAACAGAGTGAGACCCCTACACTATAACAAAGAGCAATGTAAAGAGGGGCTTGGCACCAGGGCTCCATGGCTAAGCCTCGCCTTGAACGCACCGGGATCCTATATGGGCGCCGATTTCTATCCCGGTTGCTCCTCTTCCCATCCAGCTCCCTGCTAGTGGCCTGGGAGAGCAGTGCGGGACAGTCCAAAGCCTTGGGACCCTGCACCTGTGTGGGAGACCCAGAAGAGACTCCTGGTTCCTGGCTTTGGATCAGCTCAGTTCTGGCCATTGCGGACACTTGGGGAGTGATGTGGATGGAAGACCTTTCTCTCTGTCTTTCCTTTTCCCTATAAATCTGCCTTTCCAATAAAAAAATAAATCTTAAAAAAAGAATTAAACAATTAGTGTAAAAAATCCTCATCAGATACTATATTTTCAAGAACTCAAACTGAGATTATCTTTGTTGCTAATAAGATATTTCATGTCTTTACCATAGATATATTGTAGAATGTAGAAGCAAATAATTTTTGTTTAAAGATTTGTGTCTGAAAGGCAGAGTTACAGAGAGGAGGAGAGATGGGGTGACAGAGCCCGGTCAGGGCCCAATGCCTGGGGCCATCCTCTGCTGCATCCCCAGGTCAGCGGCAAGGAGCTGGATTGGAACTGGGGCAGCAGGACTCAAACCAGTGCCCACATGGATGCTAGTCCCACAGGCAGAAACTTAGCCTACACCGACATGCTGCCGGCCCCAGAAGGCAAAATATTCTGTAGACTTTTATGAGGTATAAACATTTTACAAACAAAATTAAAAAGTCAGAATAATACATATTTATAATTTACTTGAGAACACAGGATGGAAATCAACCTCAAAAAATAAGGAAAGGGTAGAAAACAGTCTCTACAGAGGATAAAGCTTCTAAATGAAGGAAGTGTTCTGTTTGCCTCAGCAACACTGCCACTAATGGAAATTAACTTTATTCTACTTTCAAGGAATGAAGCTTTCTTCACAACAGTGTTTCTCAGTGAGAGCAAAACTACAGGAAGAGCCTCTGGGCCTCACCCGTCCTTAGGATGCATTTTATATCCATCCTCCAAATCTTAATTTGTTGGGTAAATACACTCTGGAGAGGTAGTCGGCCGACAGGCAGGCCAAGGCTTGGATTTCCGCCTTCATGTTGGAGTCTGCCATTATCTGCATCTGTCAGTGAGAGCAAAGCCCGCTCAGAGCAGAGATCTCTGCTTCCTGCCCGGCATCACGGCCACCAGCAAATCTAGGCTGTGTCATCTCCCAGACTTCAGGCAGTCATCCCTGGGGCCAGAGCTGCGACAGCCAGCAGGTGGCTGCCTCCCATAAGAAGGAGTATTCCGGGCCTTTTATAATGAGTTGTCATATTTCCCAGTCCCACAGGCTATGACACAGCCATTGAAAACAGATCTGTACCCATGATCGGGACAGACCAGCTCCCTTTAGCGCCCTCTTTGTGGGGTAACATTTCTAACACCACTTACTGACAAGCAATGCTCCCAGGAGCTGCTGGCTATGGAACATTCTAAAAGGGTAATTTCAAGACATCATGTGAACAAAGTCAATCAGACATACCACACTTGGCACACAGAGGGAAGCTTACCTCTTCCCTCCAGGACGGCTGGCAGCTCATGTAAGGTCTCCTGCGCACACTGTCCAGTTTTATGAGATCCTGCTTTGTCAGTGGAATCAAACTGTCTTTGGGTAGATTTAATCTGGAGAAAAAAAAAACAGATGAGGAAGAAAAACAGCATATGTCATTCTATAACTTGAACATCACATACATTTCATATTTATTGTATATTTATTGTATGAGCTCAACAAACAGAACTGACAGCTAAATTAGTACATATAACCTCCTAAATCTGGGATTTTTCCTTCTCAAAGACTTGAGGTCTGGCTACCAGTAAAGCTCACCAGGCCTCAGGAGGAGGGTGCCATAGCGGGATTAACACAAGTGTTACAGCATCTCCTGAGTCGGAGTAAAGGATTTGTTAAATGGGTTATTTTAGGAGTAACTGGACTTATTGCTGTTAAGGCAACACCTGCGGTCTTCAGAGTGGCACTTCATTCACCGATCCAGAAACATCAACTTGTCAAACAATGGCAAAAGAATGTGCACACACACCATGGACTCGGAAGGCTTGTACTGATGAGGAAATAGAGTAAAAGTTACAAGATATTCAAACTGCCATGCAGTGGTTGGGGGAGCAAATTTTAGATTTGCACAAACAATTGTCATTACAATGTGATTGGAATGTGCCGTATTACTGTGATACACCTGCTCATTTTAACCATAGCCAATATCTGGGAAATACTGAGACAACATCTTCAGGACCTCTGAGGAAGTCTATCCCTCAGTGTCCATGCCTTACAAGAAGAGATATTTCAAACATTTACTAAACAACTTCCTTCCATAACAGACCGAGGGTTGGCTGAAAGCATTGCCACTGCCCTTCAAGGGATGGCTTAAAGCCTGGTGGCAAGTGTCCTTCACAGCTCTCTTGCAGCTATTGTAGCTGTCTTATTTGTCTCATTTTCAGCTTATAGGATGTACATGGTTCCTAGGATAACCGGTTGTTCAGAGCAATAAGGGGGTGGACATCGCTCTGATGTGATTGTCATTAAAAAATAAAAAGGGGGAGATGTCAGAATGTATGCAACAAGCTAAGCTGGGGTAACAATGCAAGGCTGGGAACCAGTGGAGAAGAGGCTCCAGGGAGAGGTGGCAAAGCGCCCCTTGCCCAGAGCGCATGCTGCCCCCACTGCATCCTTGGCAGTGTTGTCATGCTTTCCTTGGGAAAAGGAGAACATCTGTGCTCTGTCTAGCCAGCCAACCGAGGGCAGACGGGGCTTTTCACCGATTCCCATTTCAATCATGCTTTGACCAAGGTGCCCTGTTAGCTGTCCTTGAACTCCCCACTTACAGCCACGACTGAAATCTGAGTTGCGTTTGAACTATTGCTTTGTTGAGTGTATAAAAACTGGAATCCTGGAAATAAACTTTTGTCAGTAGCCCACAGATCACTGTCCCCCCATTTCCTTTCAGTCACTCTCCTGCACAGGGTCTGCAGAACAAACTTGCAGGGATTGGGGGGGAGTTTGTATGGGAAGGCGGAAACCTGTCATGTCCTGGATCAGCAAGTTTTCAAGTTCAAAGTGAAAGTTTTGTCTCAATAGTAAGCAAGAGTCTGTTTTAAGGTTTTGTTTTCCCTCCTGTCACATGCATTGCCTGATGGCGAGAAGACAGACATCAGCTATTAAGCAAAGGCCAGCAGCACTAACCTGGAGGTGGCGGTTGGGCAGCTGGTGCCATTCAGCCTCCCAGAGTCCCTCACCCCCAGGAGGTGCCACCCATGGCTGAGGTGCGGGGAACTTGAGGGGCCACTGCAGATTTAATTCTTTGCAATTCATGGGGGATTCTAAGCCACAGAAGGTAGTCTTGTCACTTTTCACTTGCATATATAGCCCCTATCTTACTCTTTTACTTTTTAAAACACGATTTATTGATTTTTATTGGAAAGTCAGATATACACAGAGGAGGAGAGACAGAGAAGAAGATCTTCCATCCGTTGATTCACTCCCCAAGTGACTGCAACGGCTGGAGCTGAGCTGATTTGAAGCCAGGAGCCAGGAGCTTCTTCAGGTCTCCCATGTAGGTGCAGGGTCCCAAGGCTTTGGGCCGTCCTTGACTGCTTTCCCAGGCCACAAGCTGGGAGCTGGATGGGAAGTGGGGGTCACCAAGATTAGAAACGGTGCCCATGTGGGATCCAAGGTGAAGACTTTAGCTGCTAAGCTACTGCGCCAGGCTCTAATTTTACTTTTTAAAGATTTAGCTATTTGAAAGGCAGAAATAGATATAGGGAAGGGAGGGGGACAGAAAGAGAGAGAGAAAGAAAGAGAGAGAAAAAATGAATCTTCTGAGATCTTCTGTTTGGTTTACTTTTCAAATACCAGCCAGGCCAAATCAGGACAGAAGAATTACCTCTGAGTGTTCAATGTGGGGAACACGACCTAGATTCTCCAGGAAAGCCCCAGTTTCAGTTTTTTCAGGGTCCCCATCAGTCAGGCCATTTGCCAGGGGCAGCTCCCAGCCCGGTGTTAATTGGCTTGATAAGGAAGACCAGAGTGCATCCCTTGAAACCGTGACACATCCCTCGTGTCACCCCCACGCAGCCTTGCCTTTGATGGCGTACTTTTTGGAATGGCTTCTGAGGAAACAGCTGGAAATTATGAGACAAAACTAGAGCTTCTCCAAGCCCTCCACTCGTGGTCATCCTGGGTTGCTTGTCTTGAACTTGTGTTAGAAATGTCCTTCAAACAGGTAGATCACTCTCAAGGACATCAGCCAGATACCCAAATGCACACCAACGTGAACAAAGCGTTAATTTATTACAATGCAAATGTTCAGAAATTGAAATGGAATGTCTCATTTTGTGTCTTGATTGTTGACATTTGAATTTAGGGAAAACGCACCCGTGGCCATAAATTGCTCACTGCTCAAATCCAGTAAGCATGTTGAACTTTGTTTCCCATGAGCCTGTGAAAGTCGTAAGAAAACCTTTCAACTCTGAGGACAGTTGCAGAGGCGAAAAGAAGATTGCAGTGTCATACTGAAGGACAGTGTGCTGTGCCAGGTATCTGGTCTCCCAAGGAAGCAAAGGATTGGATCCCCAGGGGGCAGGTAAGTTCTAGCAACTGGGCACTCCCTACCCAGCAGTTCTCAGGCAGCGCAGCCCGAGGGACTGAGTAAAGGGCCAGGCAAAGGGTTAGTTACAAGGACGGCCTGCCACCGCTATTGGGCCAGCTGTGGAAACCATTGAAACGTCCAAATCAGAACTCAGGAACAGAACGTTCACATGAGGCCCTCCATGTGAGAGCATCCATTGAAACACTGTTGGGTGAGTCGAAGCAGGTTACGGCAGAACCACGGCGCATGAATCCATCATGCAGGGGTAGGGTCGTACACTGAAGGGATCTAGAATGCCAAACTACTCACCGTGTGTTAGAACAACTGACCTTTTAATGTCGGAAGGCAGGAGACCAAGCCACCGGATAGCTGGAACTGTGAGATGATGTGCTTCAAAAGACATGGTCTGCCACAGCAAGCACAAGACATCAGAGGAGGCTCCTTGGCAGAACCCCCACCCGCAAGGTCTCACAGCCTCTACCAGCAGGGCAAGAAGTCAGGGCGTCCATGAGGACCGGTGAAGCGGGGCTCTCAGGGAAGGGACTGGCCTCTCTGTGTTCCCCTTACTGCTCCTCTGTAAGGCAGAACTACCGAGAAAGCTCCCCAGCAAGCATCCATCACCACCTGGAATTCCGCTGTCTTGTGCCCTGGCAGGCACTGTGACAGGGCCGTCCCTGGGATTCTGCCCCAGCAGCTGGGCAGTACAGTACTCAGCACAGCACAGACCAGGGCCAGGTGACTGATGCCAGGGCCCTTGAGCACACTCTGAGAACCAGTGTGTATGGAAGTCACAGACTCTGGTGATGAATTTTGGTGGTGTGTGCATTTTTTTTCTTATGGCGGGGAAAAGGAGACTGGCCAAGTCAGAATCCAAGATGCCATGTAACATACAGGCACACTTGGTGAGGGCCACAGGAGCTCAGCTGGGTGAGTGCTGAATGACTGCCTCTGCCATGGCTCATCCCACAGCTGTCTGTGCTGCCCCTGGGTGTGATGGAGGCACAAGCATGGAGGGCCTCGAACCTAGTCCACTAGGAGAAATCTCCCCAATGGATACAAAATGTCTAAACAACAGAGAAGGCAAACTTTTTCTTTACTTACCAAAGAGCCATACTTGTAGATACACATTATTTCTATGCCTGTTAAAAGAAAGTTAGCCTTATAATTAGTCTGGTATATATTAAGTTTAGGTAATTTATGCTTTCAAATCTTATCTAACATTTGAAATTGTATTTTTGTTGCTAGTCAGTGAAAATTTTAAATTATTCTTTTATTTTGATGATCTTTACATAACTGATTAGAGCACAAAAGGTCAAAGGCTACAGGAAAGTGGATAAGACCATTGTTTCCACATTTTCTTTTCTTTTCTTTTTTCTTTTCTTCTGCATCTGGGATAAGGGAGAAGCCCCATCCAGTAGTCAGTGAACATTTTAAGGATCTTGTTTCAATACAGCATAAGTAACAACCCAATCATTATAGCCTAATATTAATGTATTATTTTTTTTCAAACTACTTTATCAAAATGTCCTAAGTGCAAAAATGCCATGACCCCTGTGGTCCAGTTCCGACTGTCACGCCACACAGGCCGGGCAGGTTACCGTAGGGGTCGGCGTCCACGAGCGTGAACATGGGCATGTGGAATGTGTCCCACAGTTTCTTGACCAGCAGTCTGGTGTTCAGGTCAGGCACTCCCTTTCCCTGAAAGCAAGCGAGAAATGGCACTTTAATTCCAGTAGAACAAAAGGGGCACAAGTACATTTTTATTGCATTGCTAACTTAAAAATTAGATTTCTCCACCAACACCATCTTGAGTTTCAGGTGGTAAAAGACTGGCATTGATCACAAAAAATATATCTAGACACGAAATCTAGGAGAGGGTGAAAGAGCCACACAGAGGCATCTCTTTGCCTCTGTTGTTCTAATCCTAGGAAATGGATCTAGGGAAATACTTCAGCAGAAATAGAAATAAAATCCTTACAGATGCTTACTGCAATGTTGTTTGAACTTACACAAATAGATAAAATGTAAAAAAGCAGAGACATGGAGAAGTGGCCCAGGGCAGTGGGGAAAGGTGTGGGGCAGATAGTCTGGGCTGGCCATTCAATGCTGGCCCTTCTGGGCAGAACCCCTGTGCTCCTGAAGCTCCGTCACCCCTTCTACACCTGCTATGGGAGTTGCAGCAGGCGCCCATCACAGAGCACCGAGAAGGCCTGGGTGGACGTTGTGGTGCAGCTGATGAGGCAGCTGCTTGGGACACTCATGTCTCGCAACCGCGCGCTTGGTTCACGTGCCAGCCACTGCACTCCTGCTCTGCTTCCTGGTAACGCGTGGGAGGCAGAAGGCTCTGCCCCACACAAGGACATGCAAATGAAGCTCCTGGCTCCTGGCTTCTGCCCAGCCTTGCTTTGACTGTGGTGGGCATTTGGGAACTGAGTCAGGAGGTGGAAGAACTGTCCCCTCTTGCCCCCTATCACATTGCATTTCAACTAATTCTTTCTAAAAACAAACGTAGGGTCTAATAAACCTTAAGTGTTGGAACATATTTTGAGGTCATTAGAACTAATTATGTAGAAAATCTTTAAGAGCAGGACAACTGTGTTGAGGGAGAAAATCGTAAAGCAAACAGGGTGTGGAGCAGAGGAAGGCAGCCGAGCGCAGGGTGGTCCGAGAGGCCTTCGGGCAGGGCAGCTCTGGAATCACAGCCCTCTGCTCAGCGCTGGTGCTGCGCTATCAGCACATTTCAGGCTTTTGCGCTCCTGCTTCATCTATAAACTCAGGATCATTCTACCTGCCACACGGCGTTAGTGCTGAATTATGAGACTCAAGCGCTAGTTTCAGCCAGTCCCAGGACTGTGGTAAGACATCTTCTGCCCATGCAGGAACTGCCATGCACGGCCATGCACTGCCATGCACGGCCATGCACTGCCATGCACGGCCATGCACGGCCATGCAGGCTGCATATGCATGCAGTGCACGGCAGTGTGCAAAGGTCACTCAAGCATCAAAGGACAGCCTATGAACAATGATTCCTTCCCAGCCCAGCCCCCTCTGGAGAGGCAGCTGCTGTAGGTCAGTTTGTCAAGGCTTCATGGAGTCATGGAAGCAGCTGGTACAGGCCACTGCAGTGGCCGCGCTGTGGGAACCCTGTGCGCGCGTTCCATAAGGGCATGCTAAAGCCAAGGCAGAGCAGGTGAGGATGTGTGAACTTCCCTCCCAAACCAGATCTCCCTGCAACCTGAGGGTGCCAGAAAACCCTGCCTTAGGGGCACCTCCAAAGCAGGTGACCCAAACGCCAGGGGCAGTGTGGAGCCCAGGGTCACCTGTGATCTCCTCTGGCTGTAATGGCCTGGCCTCTAGTCAGCTGGCCAGCAGGCTGTGAAACAGGACTGGACCAAGAGCTAGCCCCAGGAGAGAGCCTGCCTTTCAGGCACAAGTGCGCCCCCTGTCACTCATGAGCTGCTTTACAACTTTAGGGTGAAAGCAATTTAAAAGGTGTCTGTTTTGATGCAGAGAATGTCATCTGTGCCTACACAGGAGCTCTCAGGTCTTGTTCCTGAACTTCAAATTAGGTGAACGCCACGTGGGTTTTCTGCTATTACCATAAGTTCACTTGGGTTTTGATTCTGAGAGCTGAGTGGCCACTGGCTCTGACTACAGTGGTGGTCCTGTGGCAGGCATCCACATGTCCACGCCCTTTGATTCACTTGTCACTTCCTGTGGTCAGCAAGTCCTTTCAAATTGGCTTTGGAACTGTCCTCTGTTTCAGTTCTTTCCCCCGGTGGCCTCCCCCCATCAGCCCTGCATCCAGATAACACCCTGGAGCTTTCTGCCAGGCCTGCGGCTCCAGGTCTCTCTCCTGTCGCCTAACTGCTGCACCACACTAAGCTGTCATTTCCCTGCCCACCGGGCCTGCAGCTTGCATCGAGCTCCTGGTGTTCCTGCACCAGGTGCCTGTTCCTGGCACCTCCGTGGCACCGTTAGGCTCCCACGGCTCCCACCAACTGCCCATGCCCTGCTTTCTCTCCAGGGAGTTTCGTCACTGCTTCCACAAACACATTTCACAAACACCATACTTGCTTAATCCCATAAGCCAGAAGAATTTTAAGTAGATGAGCTTGTTTTTCCTTCAAAGAGCTAGGTTTTTACAAAGATCCATAAAAGCACAAGCCTGGGGGAAGAGCTTTTCCAGAACACAACCTGTTCCCGCTCCTGTCCTACAGCGGCAGTCCTTCCTTATGCACGCCGCGCAGGCTTCCTGTGTGTTCCAGTCGGCCTGTCCTGCTCTAGGGGGTTTCACTGGTCACTCAGGCTCATGAGCTCCTTTCATACCACTGTAGCAGGGAGTTTACTACCTGCAGTGAAATAACTTTTTGAGCCCCTCCAATTCATAGGTTGAAAACCCCACTCCTGAGCCTGAAAGGTGACTGGATCTTGAGGCTAGAGCCTTCACAAGTGGGACCGGTGCCCTCATAGCAGGCACCCCCGACAGCTCTAACCTTTGAGATGATGAGCATCGATGAGGTGCTGGCCATCCATGAGTCAGGAAGAGGACCTTGATTCTGGGGCACAACAATCTACGAGCAACCTGACATTGGATGTGTCAGCCTGCAAACTCTCCAACACATGCGTGCTCTCTACGCCACCCGGGCCCCATCCTGTTAGAGGGGCCGACTCACCGTGATGCTCCCCTTTGCTCTCTACACCACCCAGGCCCCATCCTGTTAGAGGGGCCGACTCACCGTGATGCTCCCCTTTGCTCTACGCCACCCAGGCCCCATCCTGTTAGAGGGGCCGACTCACCGTGATGCTCCCCTTTGCTCTACGCCACCCAGGCCCCATCCTGTTAGAGGGGCGACTCACCGTGATGCTCCCCTTTGCCCTCTAAGCCGCCCAGGCCCCATCCTGTTAGAGGGGCGACTCACCGTGATGCTCCCCTTTGCCCTCTAAGCCGCCCAGGCCCCATCCTGTTAGAGGGGCGACTCACCGTGATGCTCCCCTTTGCTCTCTACACCACCCAGGCCCCATCCTGTTAGAGGGGCGACTCACCGTGATGCTCCCCTTTGCTCTCTACGCCACCCAGGCCCCATCCTGTTAGAGGGGCCGACTCACCGTGATGCTCCCCTTTGCTGACTGATGAGTCTGTGCTACCTCAACCACAGTTTGTTTCTGTGTTCTTTGCTACTCTTCGCACATTTACATTTTTTGTTTTTTGTTTTTTTAAAAAGCAAGCCCTTTTGACCCAATTGGTAAAATCACCTGGTGTAAAATCCTGTGTGAGGAGAAATAAATAGCCCTTGTTCATCAAAGCCCAAAACCCTCGTGTTAACATGAGACAGCTGAGTCAAGCAGTCCCTGCAGGTGTGCTGTGAGGATGGTCTCAGAGCGCCTTGGTGTTGGAAAACTGATGGTATTTAAGACTGACATTCAAGATGTAGAATATGAAAGTACTTCAAAAAGTTCTTGGGGAAAAAATAGAATTAAGAGATTTATTTGGGTTCAAGAAAAAAATCTTGAAATCCCCATACAGCCTTTTCAAATACGCGTTTTTGCAACACACGTATTTCCTGTGCCGTTGGAGACCCTTCCTAAGTTGGTCTTGGAGTTGGTCAGGGTGGGTGGCGTTACCGTGACCATGATGCATGGGGACATCCTGCTGCAAAAGTTGTCATCCAGGAGTCGCTGAAATGTTGCATCCTTTTCTACAATTAATAGAAATCTTGCATCTGTAATTAAATCTGAGATGTTAAGGTTGAGAAATGAATATGAGAATTTCAATTTAGTTATATGTGGTCAAAAGCAACGGTAGATAGAACATTTTCATTTTACCTTCAAATATATATATATATATACCTATTCACAAATCTAGACTTCAACCTTTCCCCCTAGGTGCTGGGGTATTCATCTTGAGTACTGGGGACCTGATTCAGTTTTTACACATGATGAAGGCTTGGTTTATCAAAGGAATGAATGAATGAACATTCCAGAAGCCTAAATGGCTTCCCCACTGAAAGGATACTTTGAATTCCTTGAATATTAGATGGCACAGCAGCAACCTAAGTTAAAAAAAAAATGTTTGAAGTGAAAAGCAAGTATAATCATAGTTGATAACTTAAGCACAGAATCTTATTCTTTTCTTGCTACAGTCATCGAAGACTTACTTCTCAGTAAGAAAACAGCAGGAAACAGATTGATCCCTCAGTAGCAAAACAGATACATCGGGGGAGATTGCTGGCACGTGCACAGTGGCTAAGCCACAGCCTGCAATGCTAGCATCCCACATGAGGGCCTGTTCAAGTCTCGGCTGTTCTGTTCCATCCAGCTCCCTACCGACGCACTTGGAAGAGCAACAGGTGATGGTCCAAGGGCTTGGACCCTGCTCCCAGGTGGGAGACCCCACGGAGCTCTGAGCTCCTGGCGTTGGCTTGGCCCAGCCCCAGCTTTGAGGCCATTTTAGACAGAAGGTCAATCTCTGTCTGTTTTCCCCTCTTCTCTTTGTAACTCTTTTAAATAAATAAATTTAACAAAAACAACCATAACAGATCGCCCACACTACTTCTCAGCAGGGAGAATTTCTTCGATGCTTTGTACATGCGCAGCTTCAAAGGATAACTCATGATGAGAAGTTCCCTGTTACAGGCTCTTGCTCCATCCTCCTCCTTCATCCTCCTTTCCTAACTTCTAGGTTGTTCCCTCCCAGCGCTGCAACCTTTTAGTATAGTGAAGTCCTTACACACCTCAGCTCAGCATGAATTACAGCAGTTCAGGGGTGGCGCCGGCCAAGTGGCTAAGGCACTGTTTCAGACACCCACATTTCGTACTGCAATGTGTGGGTTCAAGACCCAACTCCTGCTAACAAACACTCTGAGAGGCAACAAGTGTTGGCTCAGGCAGTCAGGTCCTTGCAAGCCCCTGGAAGACCTGGATGCAGAGCCGAGCCACGAGCTTCAGCCTGGCCTGGTCTGAAGAGTGAACCAGGGGAGGGTGCCCTGCTTCTCTCTTTCCGTTTGCCCTTCAAATACCATGCTGAAATGTCACAGCACACAGTGCTTTAAAAGGGAAAGCACATGGCTGCCAGCCTCTACAGGTCACAGATGTCTATTTTTAAACCATGTCAGATTCAACCCCATAAAGCATATGCCCATTCACCCACAGGCTCAGCCCTAACCTACACAAGAGCAAGAAATGAAACGAGGGACCGGACGTGAACGCCTGTGGTGCTTACCGTGGCCCCGCAGGTGCAGTGCACTTTGGTGCCGTCTTCCTCCACATAGCTGAGATCGCCGGCAATTAACCCTTTCGATGTAGACAACTGAGAAAAGCACACATACGCAGTTGACACTTCCTCAAAATCTAGTTTATGCTTACAAATGACTCCTCATGTTCACCTGCTATTGTTTTTTTTAAAACTCAGATTAGAATTTAAAAAATGAAGGAGAAATATATATGTATGGGTATTTAGGAACTTAAAACTATCTGGCAATTCATCTGCTTTGCCTTAAGCTAAAGGAATCCACTGAGAATAGATTACTTAAATCTGTAGTGAGCAAAATATAGCATCAATACCAAAAGGCAAAGTTGATAATTCTAGTACAGCTTTTCTGCTTCTTACTGTAAATGCTACTTACTATATGAAGACTCCTCCTGGGCACTTTCAACATACAAGAGATGTCATTGATGATACTGTCCACGACAGTCTGACTGCCGAAGAGTTTGCTGTCAGTGTAATAGATGTCTCTATGGAAATTTAAACAATATATTTTCAGTTAACTACTACTTCTTTGATTATGGCAAATATTAAAATTTTAAGAAAGCTCTAACCGAATGAAATCTAGCATGTATAAATAGAGTGATATGTTAAAACTAGTCTGGTCTTACCTAACTTTTCAAAGCATATATAGTAAAAAAGTTAATGAAACAAAATCATTAAAGAATGGCTTTGCCAAAACAATATATTTACCTTTTGGTTGCGTAAGTGTTGCTCTGTGCTAATTTATAAATCATGGACAGAACCTTAAGAATTAGAGCTGGAAAATGAGACACAACAAGTCAGGAATGTGGCGCTCAATTTCTTAGTTCAGCTGATCCTGCCATCAAGCTGTTAACTGTCCCCAGGTACTTCCCACACCATTTAAGAAAACTCTTCCCAAAACAGAGGGGTTAAGTAAAGCATAACTGCCTGAAGAATCAGATAACATTAATTGTTCTCTGGGCAATAAAACAGAGAGAACAATTTTCCATTGGCCCTTATACCTTGAAATTATATTTATTTTAGATGATAATCTACTTCTATACTTACTGACCATGCAAAATTCGAGAAGTAAATTTGGAATACAAAGGTGGCATATTAAAGAAAAGCATAATTACTGAACTAGAAACAACTAAAAGCTAGACTGTAAAAACATTAATTCTTTATTACTAAAAGCTAAGAAAGGTCAATTTACCAAATTTCTGAACTGATGTTAATGAGTCACTTTTGATCTTCCTCATGGTGCAGTGAGGTGCCATCTGGAGGCCCGCCGAGTCGTCAATCCTGGGATTTTGTTTAAAGCAAGGGAATAAAGTGAGAAGACTCGTCTACCGAGCAGCAGGCAAAACACATTTCACACGTTTCTGGGCACATCACGAGGCTCCCACTTTTCTTCTGATATCAGCACTAAAATGACAGAATCACCCATACTGTACAATCAGAAGACTTCAGTGCTATGATAGGTAATTAATTTTGTGACATACAGAGGTACCAAGATTAAGTGCTTAAAATAAATAAATTCCTCAGCCCAGCACTTTGGCTTAGAGGCCAAACCCTTACCTGCAAGTGCCAGGTTCCCATTGCGTGCCAGTCCCTGTCCTAAGTGGCTACTCCACTTCCCATCCAGCTCCCTGCTAATGGCCTGGAAAAGCAGCAGAGAATGGCGCAAAGCCTTGGGAGACTGGAGGAAGTTTCCGGCTCTTAATTTTGGATCAGCTCAGCTCTGGCCGTTGTGGCCATTTAGGGGGTGAACCAGTGAATGGGGGATCATTCCGTCTCTCCTCTCTGTAAACCTGCCTTTCCAATAAAAATAAACAAAAGCTTTTTAAAATAAACAAATTATTTCCTTTGATTATGGAGTGTGTGTGTATGCCTGGGTATTTCTTAGAGGAAGATAATTAGTATATAAAATGCTTCAAATATTCCATAATTTTATTAACATTTATTTTAATGCTTTACTGACTTAACAATTACACTGATAGTAAAAACTTTTGAAATATCTTATTTCTAATTTAACTGCAAAGTTAAATTACATAAAATAACAACTTGCACTCCCTTGTAAACTGAACTGCCATGCCTCCTAAAGGCGGCAGAAGGTCCCAGGCCCAGACGCCAGGTGTCAGCTGCTGCAAGGCTGGGTGAGCTGTGCCCAAGGCAGGCAGCCCGTGAGTTGCTTTCATTACAAAGTGACCAGGGAGTTGCAAACTCCTTTTACCTCCTTGAACTAAGTCGTTTTCCAGCTCTCACGAAGTACAGGAGAGCCGTTATCACAATGTCTTCCTGCATTTAGAGAGGTTTTGGAGGCTGGAAAAAAACAAAAGCTTTTCTCCCTAGGTTCATGGACTGTGGTGAAGCTGTTTTTGAAGATGGTTTAGCAGGGCCTACAACCCCACAGGCAGCTGACTGCTCAGTGTGCTGCCTGTTCAAGAACCTGGTGCCTCAGGCTGGCTCTCGGTGTCTCTGACCAGCCACATGCAGCCTGCTTGCACAGGTGGATGAAGATGGAGCCGTCACACCACGCACTCCCAAGCAGGCTCAGTGCCAAGCCTTTACACTGGCGCCTGAGATGGAGCCTCTGTAGGGCGCTCCAGTCTGTGTTAGCGGCTGGCATTGTGCTCCTTTGCCTTATCGCTCACACCTACTCCTAGCTTCCAGCAGGTATTTTGTAAACTTTTAAGTCCTTTCCTAGGCAGGGTGGAGACAGTAACAAGAATTTAATCTTACTAAAACTCAAGGAAATTCAAATTGACAAGAAAGACATTGCATAAAAGCATCAATCCAAAACACCCACTTCATATTTTTCCAGCTCGATCTGTCTTCTATTGTGAACGCAGGTGCTTCTTTGCTCGCCAGGCTGGCGACGATGCCTTGGATAACATTTTCTATAGCTGCACAGACCTCAGAACTGAAACCACAAACACATACTGATTCAATCTTAATTATAAAGTTCATGTTCACAATATAAACCACTTCCCAAGATCAATACTAAAAGTACTTTTTTAAATGGTTATTTTTTAACATTAGGTAATTCATCTCAGTAATTCATCTCAATAACTCTCCCTCTAAATTCTGACATAAGTACTGCACTAAAACAGCTGTGTTTCTGGTGAAAAAAATTTCATTTGCTTTTATTCCTCAAATTACCAGTTGAATCATATTTCCTTTTTACACAAATGACTAGATAATGTAATTTGCAAATATACTTTTTATCTTTTCACATTAACCTACTTTAATCTAGTTGAGTTTCCAACACAAACTTGTTGGCTTGAAATACTGCTGATAAATGTTTTAATTAAAAATGATGTAATATCAGCTTTGAATTTCTTTCCCAAAAATGTCATATAAATCTATTTTAGAAGAAATATTTCTGATTGTAGCACATTGCCCTAACTGAGCTCAGGCATTCAAATAGAATCTTCTGAATTTCAGATTCAAAAGGGGAAAATTTTAATCAAGACCACGAAAAAAAAAATAATCATGAGATCTGCATTAAATGGTTGATTTGGCAGCTATTACATCACTTTACAGCAAACTATTAAGACCAAGCCCAGATTTCTGTCAGATGACTTTCAATTTCACAAACCATCAGCTTCAAAAAAAGTTGCTCTAAGTACCATGAGCATATTGTGTATGAAGGGAATGCCAATCTAGAAAATTAGCACGAGTTTGAAATATTATGTACTCACAAAATGAATTTTAAAACATTTAACATTTTCTAATGTCGACAGGCACTATCTGACCCAAACACAACATTCCCTTTGTCTTTTTGGGGGGAGAGGAGGAAGGGGAGCATCGCCAGCCAAGCTTTAATCAGCAGTGTCTGCAGTGTCAACTAGGGGCTGTCCTTTCTCTGCAGTTCCTAACCCCTCCCTTCAACTAAATCATCTCATTAAGACTTTGGTTGTGGGGTTTACATTTTTTTTTTTCTGTATTAATTCATGCAGGAGGAAAATGTTGCTGATAAACCAGAAAAATGAAGCGAGGAAGCAAAGCAACAGGGCGTTTAAGCCAAAGTGGACGGCAATACATTTTCTATAATTCTGACGGCTCACTGGGGAAACCTGAGCCTATGCTAAACAAGCCATTTAAAAGAGATTCTGCTCACTTCCAAGTTTTTTTAAAAAGTGGTATTATAAACTACCTAAAACGCGTTGACATCTTGTCAATTTTAAGAAATCCACTAGCTTACTGTATAAACTCACAAAATTTTCTCTCCCCAAACATCCTGAAAGCGTCTGAAGTTTTAAAATACTTGTAGAATTTTAAAAATGAAATTATAAAGACAAAAGGTGCCTCAAACTCGTTGCCTGGAAGAGGAAACCCGCAAATTCGGAGGTGGAGAACGCTCCTAGAACATTCTAGAACACTCTCGAAAACACCAGTTGTTTTCTGTTCAATAAGAGGACTGGAAGCAGAAAAGTGGTGGCGAGGTGTAAGGATGGGACTCTGCCGGGGAGATGACGGGGCCCACCAGTGAACATCCCCACGTTTTCCAGGACTCCTGGGGTTGTTGTACCTGGAGGCCAAGCGGTCTGGGGGCTCCCCACTATCTCTCTTTTGTGTGGCCAACAGGGAAGCCCTATGCCGCTCCAAAACCTCAAAGAATGAAGCGTCCGGCCCCATGGGCGCAAAAGCCATGAGGGAAGCCGGCAGCGAAAACCTCTCCACGCCAACTCTGCCTCGCTTCGTGTATTCCACAAGACCACTCCTGGGCAAGATGGCGCCTTGCGTTGCAAGGGCGGGGTGGGCCAGTGCGCGTGCGCACACACTCCCTGTGGGGGCGGGCCTGAGCAGACGCATGCGCATGGCATCGCCCTGACAAGTCTGGGTAAGCTGGCAGCTGAGAGCGCAAGGGGTGAGCTCGGTTGTGGCTTGAATAGGGTGTTGGACCCGGATTTCCTGAGGCAGCTCAGTTTGTTTTACAGGGGCGGCTGTTTAAGACAGGAATGTCAGTGAATTTTCATCAAATCAAGTCATTGTGAAGCTCTAAGTTCAGTTTTGATCCTGGCAAACGGTCCCCGCCGCTTGCTAAGGCTTAGGCAGTAGCTGAGGGTCGGCAAAGCTGCCCTCACTCAGCTCCTCTCCTCTGATTTTTCTGCAGCCCTTGGGGAGGGTCCTCATGCACTGGTCTGCCCCATGAGGCTCCCTGCCCTTGGGGAGGACCACCACACAGCAAGTCAAAAACGCGGGACACTCGGGTAAATGTGGGTTTCAAATACATGGCGAGAACTGCTCGCCTCCCCTTCTAAGGGTAACTATGCCCCATATAGTACTTGTTAAAAGATGGGGAGGGGGCTGGCATTGGGACGCGGTGAGTTAAACCATTGCTTGTAATGTTGGCATCCCATACCCAAATGAGGGCTCTGGCCCCTGCTGGTCTGGTGCTGCTACTCATGAACACGTGTGTCCTGCACATGCCAAGTGCTGTGCCCAGAGCCTTGTATGGTTGTGTTCTCACACAAACGGCCTCACTGTCCCTGTGCTTAGGACCCAGCTGTGAAGGAGGCAGCGGCCCTTACCCTCAGGGAGCACATAGCCGGGGCAGGGAAGGCACCAAGGCTCTTAGGACAAACAGGTGCACAGGGTCAGGAGGGCAGGAGGAGAGCTGCCTAGGACAGGAATTAGCAACACTCCACAAGTAAAGGGACTGGAGCTGGAAGAGGCTGAGCCTCTCAGGCAGGATGGTGTCTCCAGGGAGTGACCTAGCTGGGTGGTCAGCCTTCACTCCAAGCTCATGTCCTTAGCTGTTAGGCCTGGAGGCACCTGTACCTGTCCCACTGGGGAGGGGGACTTCCTTGGTGGAGTAGCCTTGCCTCCTGGGCCTCCGTTTTCTCAGATTTCTCTGGAAGGGCAGGTGGGTTCACCCGTCTTGGCGTCCAAGAGGAGCTGATAAGCCGAAGGTCCCTAAAGGAGGGCTGGTCTGGGACAGGAGTCCCTGCTATCTACTCTCTTGCTGGCTATGGACAGATATTCCAGCGTCAGCTTCGCCCTAGAGCCCACCAAAAGCCAGCAACGGAAGGGCCCACCCCGGGTGGTGGTTCAGCAAGGCTTCAAGATGCGGTGAGAACAAACGTGTAACAATCTGGCATCTCCGTAGGGAGAACTTGCCAGGTAAAGCTTGAAAGTGTCTGCAGAAGGATCCTACCCTTCCCGCAGCTGCACCCCACCTCTGCACACCTGTGGGGCCCCAGCAGCTGTGGGCAGCGCCTCTACATCAAAGTCACAGGCCCATTCGGAGGCTGTGAGAAGCAAAGTGAAGGACATACTCCGCCCCCACATGCACCCTCTCTCCCCGGTAGCTCCCCAGTGAGCCTGGCGGCTGGGAAGGACACCCTTGCAGGGCAGCTGCCCAGCCCTCCTCCAGGCCCCACTAGTGGATGCTCCTCTCACTCTGGGCCTGAGGTCAGACTCCTGAGGACCAAGACTTCCTTGCAAAAGAGGAAATGTCCTTCATAGTAGGCTCAGTTCTCATCCCATCTCTAACACATGCCCCAAAAGGAGGTAGGCAGGGATGAGGAAGCCCTTCCGATAGTGGCGACAGGAGAGGTGTGCCCTGCTGCACTTGGACCAGGTACTTGCCCAGCCGACAAATTCTGGAGCAGGTGCTGGGATGCAGCAGATGCTGTTGCCACTTGGGGTGCCTGCATCTGTATCAGAGTGTCTGAGTCCCGCCCCTGCCTCTGAATCAGCTTCCTACTAATGTGCTCCCTTAACGGCGGGGGTGGGGGCAGCCCTTGGGTTGCCCGTGGGTGCTGGAAGCCAGGATGGCTTTGTTGCCAAGGTTCAAGGCCTCCCATCTGTCCCATATGGCACATCCTCCTCCCCACCCCCTCCCAATTATCTCTGCGTCTTATTAGAGCTTGGCATGGGCAACAGGAGCTGGGGACAAGGAAAGACCCCTGCCTTGGACCCAGTTGTTACTGGAGAAATAAATAGAGAAAATCAACCTTGCAGGTGCGTGGCCAAACACGGCAGCCCTGGGAGGCTCAGGCTGTGGAGCCGGCTGTCGTAACACACAGAGCTGGTGAGGAGCACTGAGAAAGTCAGTCCAACTCCCAAACAATGAGGATGTGCAGTCCAAAGCAGAGGGGCCAATGTGGGGGCTGGAAGGGCACAGCCCAGTCAGCCGCAGCCTGTGGGCATGGGAGCGGTCACTGCCCAAGCCAGCTTCTCTTTGGTAGAATTAGAAATGATCACACTTGGGACTGGTACTGTGACTCAACAGGCTCATCCTTCACCTTCAAGTACCAGCATCCCATATGGGCACCGGTTCGTGTCCCAGCAGCTCCATATTGGATCAAGCTCCTTGTTTATGGCCTGGGAAAGCAGTAGAGGATCGTTCAAGTCCTTGGGCTCCTGTACCTGCATGGGAGATCTGAAGGGGTGCCTGGCTTTAGGTTGGCTTGCTTTTGGCTGCTGAAGCCGTTTGGGGAGTGAACCAAATGGATGCAAGATCTTTCTCTCTGTGTCTCTCCTTCTTTCTATAAAATCTGCCTTTCAAACGAAAAGAGTGATAATTAAAACCGAAATGATTGGACTTGCAGTGCCCTGAAATTGATTGGACTTGTAATGGCTTGCAAGGATGTTCTCCTTGACCCCACTTCTGAAGCGAGGCAGGCCTTGTAACTGGTTGTCAGGCAGTGCAGGTCCAGGCCGTCTCAGGGCCTTTGCACCTGCTGTTTCTTCTACTTGCAGCACTGGCCAGACTTTCCCTGGCCGCCTACCTGCTGCCTCATTTCCCTTCAGTTTTGCTCAAGTGCAGTGAGTCAGTGGGCAGAGCAGGAGGCTGGGCTCACACTGCCCGAGCTCAGCAGCTGAGTGGCCACGTGATGGCAGGGGTCACCCAGGAGCAATCCCCTCCATTGCTGGGTGCTCAGGAAGGCACGTGATCCTCATTTCATGCTCAGAAAACTTAAAGGACCAGGCAGGAATTGTGGGAACCCCCATAGAACAGAGGAGGATGCTGGAGTCCTGTCACAGGTGCTGGTTTTCCAGGGCAGCTGGGGTCCTGGCCATCCACGGAGGCCAGAGAGCTCAGCCCCAGCTGTCCTACCTCCTATGCACCTGCACTTCTGGGCACTTCAGAAAGACACGCTGACCCCCTTGGCTCTGTGTCTGAGATCTCCCTCTTCCAAGTTCATGGAGTCCCAGGCGGGGTGCATGCCAGGTGTTGGTCTCCTTGCCTATGGCCTTGCTGTGCTGCGGGCCAGTTCTGTCTTTCCAGCTGGAATGGAAGGGCCAGCTGTCCACGTTGTACTGCCCTGGCTTTGGGGTCTGCCGCCCGCCCTCTGCCCGCACAGTTGCAAACCTGACATGATTCACAGAGGGGGCTCCCTTGTCACTGCTGCCCTGGCCCCACTACTCCCATCCTTGTGACACGGAGCGAGGTTTTCAGCCTCTCTGGGCTCAGTTTGCCACATCTGTGAAGCAAGTCCTGATTGACAGGGTTGCAAGATTGACCGCACTGGTGAAGACACACGGCAGGCACTCAATCGGCAGGAGCAATCGTGAATTTATTTTTAACGGTGTTTACTTGTTTTACTTGAAAGGCAGAGAGAGAAGAAGGAGTCTTGGGGTTCCCTCTAGTTGGGACTGGGTGTGATGTCCGCACCAAGAATTGGGACACAGGGGTTGCAGAGGCAAGACGAACCAATGCACGCTTTATTGAATTTTTCTGGGGGATCTTATACCAAATTTTTGCAAAGCAAGCAGACTAGTAAACGTCACAAGTTAATTAAACAATAGCATGTAAGTTGCTCCGAATGGTAGGTCACAAGGGATTGGGGGAACCATCACCGGGTCTGAGCTGCTGTCTGAGCAAACAGGAATTATAGGAATCAACGCCAGGAAGCAGATCTAACTAGAAAGGGAATCTAACAGAACTATGTCTGTGCTCAGATACATTCATGCCACAATCACTAAAGGAAGAGGAAGATGATACTGAAGATGTCACACATCCCCAGGCACGCTTTATCAACAAAGTGACCTGAAATTTTCAGCAGAAAGTCTGTCTTCTGCAAAGTTCTGTCTGCCGGAAACGTTTGAGGCTTAGGGTCCCTTGGACATTTGGTGGTCTGGTTCAGGGGACAGATCTCCACAATTAATAAATCTCCACAGAGGGGGGGAAGAGAAAAGGAAAGAAAGCTCTCCCCTCTGCTGATTCACTCTCGGAATGTGCACACCAGCCAGAGAGAGCTTGGCCAGGTTGAAGCCAGGAGCCAGGAACTCTGTCTGGGTCTGCCATGTGAGTGTGAGCGACCCAAGGACTAGAGGCATCGCGGCTGCCCTTCAGGTGCACGTTAGCAGGAAGCTAGAATTGGGCATGGGGTCAGCACTGGAACCCCACCATCCTGATGGCGCCTTATCTGCTATGCCAAGTGGGCACTCCCGCAGTCTGTTTCCCAAACCTCCAGTGACACCAAATGTCTCTTCAAAAACATTTGGTGTCCATAAAAATTGGCACAAGGCTATGCATTGCCTCACTGTTTAGAAAAGCAGGAAAAACTGCAAACACTCATTCTGCTCTACAAGGTTGACTCACTCACCCCTGCCCCCCTATGCAAACTCGACAGCCACCAGTCCAGTCACCCTGTGGCCTGGGGTCAGCCCTGTCGGCCGGAACACCAGTGTGAAGGCACACTCCTTAGTAGTGAATTACGTCTGGAGGGGGACTTAACCTGCTAAGCTACAGTTAAGTTGTG